TATACTGTAACTTTTTGGGTCGTTACCCACCCCCAACCACCCCCCCCAACCCAAAAATTCAATTTTGGTTTTTTTTTTTTTTCCGCCCCCCCCCCCCCCCCCCCCCCCCACCCCCAGCATGACATTCAACCCCCATCCGAATCTGTCGTAAAATATTCATTCTCATTGCGCAACCCAAGAACGCCAGGGCTCCGGTCCGTAAACCACGCGAGGTGAAAAATCAAAATAAATAATCAAAGCAAGTACTCGAAGCACACCCCTAATGCGTGATTACGCCCTGTATGCATATCTCGTCCAGCCAGTACTTATATTAACGCCGTTCCAAAATCGCAAAAAGAGAAAAGCCGCCTATCATTGCTAGTCGTAAGACGCGTGCGAGAGTATTTGCGAAGGCGGGCACGAGTCGATATTAATTCCAGTTTGTCCCTCCCTATCGTTACGTCGTCATTGTGAGTGTTTAGGCTATATCCATGCCTTCAGAATCGTTGTCCATGTCGGAAGGCAGCGCTTGTGTACGATCACTGCCAACGCTGTCTTTCCGAGTGACCCAGTTATCGTTTCGGCTACGGTAGCTGTCGACGTAATCAAGTTCTTCCCCCGCAATGACTCTGCCTTCCATGTCGATTTCCTGTGAAAGTTCGACCAAGGCTGTACGGGGAAGTCGTAAGAAGCCATGAGTGCGGACAATGCGACCCCAATGGGTCAAGCAGAAATTCGCGGCTCGTTTGCTGAGCCACTCCTCGTTCGCCTGGCAAGCACAATACCAGATGATGCAGGCATGATCGACATCAAGTTCCTTCGACAACCGATTCACGCAGAGAAGTCTCAGATGGGGAATATTGTAAATGTTTGACATCACAAGTAATCCAGCCACGTCAGATAGGTCCGCAACTCCATCGCTAGCATGAATGCTATCCGTATATAAGTAGGAAAGGAATAGCTTGACAACAGAGTAAGGTTCGGGAATATGCATCTTTTTTGTGTGAAACTCGGCCATCTGAGAGTTATAAAGTCGTGCAAAATGCGGCCACCGTGCTTGGAGAATGAGCTTGTGCACATGGATAGGGGGAGATGTGGGAGCATCTGGTGCAAGCCAATTTTGATCATCTGGTACCTCCCCAGCACGAATGACGCCTGAACTCATCATATCATCATCTTCGAAATCGCTAGCAAGTGCGGTTACAATGAAATCGGTTCCACTGCCTGTCTCTGGGGGTTGATTGAAGAGTCTGGCAAGATCAAGACCGAGGCCTTTCGATGGCTGCTCCTGTACGCGAGTATGAGAGGTGGGGCGTGAGAGCTCGGACCGGGGTTCTGAGACAAAATTGTTTCCAAGAAAGCCATAACGTCGTAAATCTACCTCCATGATGTCACTCAAATACTCTTCAAACCCATTTGGGCCGATGTCGTTTGTTGGATCAGTTGGACAACCCAGTAGCCACGCTTTTGTGCCGTCCTCGTTCATGGTACAGTAATGCCAGCGGAAGCCTGACTTGAATATTTCGCGGCCTTCTGCCAGTTTTTGCCATCGCAAAGATGCCAGATCCAAAGCAGACAAGGAGCACTCCTTCGAAGTAATTGTAGCAGCTGGCGTTACAAAATCAAGCAAAGTGCCTGAGGAGTAGATATGGAAGTGCGTTCCGGGCACCTGGGAGGGCACATTGACACCAGATACAAACTTTAGAGACGACACTGCGCCTGGTGCCATGGGAGCGTATGCTTTGAGTTGGAATGACGGCGTATTTACCTGGGCCGTTCGCGAATTGGCAGCATAGCCCGAGGCTCCTACAACAGCAGGTGGGCCAATGGAATAAACGGGACGAGATGGGTCAACTGTACGACCCATCGCTGCATGTTTATCGGAGGTTGAGCCCATGTGAGGTGGTGAGTCGAAAGCAGGGCTCCCCTTAAGATCAAGCCACCACAATTCACTAACTTTATCCATATCCTCGCTTAGACCACCGAAAACCCAGACTCGATCGGCCCTAATCACAGTCAGCATCAGTTACTCAGCCTCGATAGTAGTGGCACACACCATATATACGCTGAGTGATCGAACCGCCCGACAAAACGCCAAGATCTAGACCAAGTGTATGTCTTCAAGTCCAAATAACAGATATCGTCCAGGACATAATTATCATGCCCGGTGATCCCACCAATGATAAACAGTTTGTCCTCGTGGAGGACAGCTGCGTGTCTCGCTCTGCCCTTAGGCAAAGGGCCCGTGACCTGAGGTTGTGTCCAATGTGCGGTCTTCAGATCGAAGACGATGAGGTCGGAAAGATATGTGCGGTGTTCATTTTCACCACCAAAGACCAAGAGCTTGTCGCCTTGGTAAAGCGTCGCGGTGTGTCCTGCATTTCACACAATGAGTGTTTGCGCGTTGTAACATAACATTTAATAATCACATACCCATTCTAACGCCAGGAATGTCGCCGTAATTGTCCACTAGGCTCCATTGATGGCTCACAAGATCCAGCTTGAGCACATGGTTATATACTTCGTCGGTGTACTGATCGAAACCCCCAAATGCGTAAATCTGATTGTTGCCGCAGTATGTTACCGAGGCGTTGACGAGGCAGGCCGGTCTTTGACCAAGGGTTCGTGTGACTTTGGGTCGGTAACCATCGGCCATGGGCCTATTCTTCAAAGGAGTATTAGGCATGACAAATGTGTTTCCAGAGGAGGCAGCGGACACAGGGGTCGGTGCATTCGAAGTCGAGGGCGTGAGAGAGGGCGCAGAAGCGGTGCCGGAGGAAGAATATTGATAGGCGGCAGCAGGGCCTCCGAAGAGAGACTGGGAAGAAATGGATGGTGTCGAGGGATGTGCCATGTCGTCGTGTGGGAACAGGCGGTTTGAGGGCGAGTTACAGTCGCGATACTAGCTAGTTATTATGTCACCATCACATGTGATTCGTGACTGTAGCGAAAACGAACAGCCCCGGATACTGACTGGTATTGGGATGGGATCTGAGTCGGGCACTAGAGAGTGTCTCTTGTTGGAAAGAAAGGGTAGGCACTCGGCCAGTCAGCCGAATAGAAAGGCGCAGGCTATGGCGATCGACGACAGCAGGCGGGAGCTTGTCTTGGCTGGATGGATTTTAGGTCTGAAGATCGACGCAGGTTTGGTTCTGCAGCAAAAAGCAAGTCGGGGGGGGTTGAAATTGCAGGTTGATTGGCGGCGACTTGCTGGTGGTAGGTAATGAGACACGATTACGCAGTACTACGTACTTTAGGTTACAGCCAGAACCTTGGAAGGGAAAGGTAATGGGTACCTAAGGACCTCGTTAAAGGTGGGCCAGACTCCTAAAGAGTTTGAATCTTAATGCACCGGTAAGAAGTAGGTAAGACCTGAGGGGCTGCTAAATAGGGGTAGAACTAGTGAGGAGCCACAGTGAGCCACAGTGGAGATGGCTGCCCATCAGAAGCCCCATCTTACCTACGTACTAGTAGGTACCTAGGTACTTAGGTAGCAGCATGGACCACAGCGGGATGGACACCAGGATGGAGAGAAGGTGCATTGGGCAGCGCACCTCGTTGTCCTATCAACGCCCCACATTCAAAGTAAATAAAAGACCTCCAGCATGAAGCTTTAAGTTCAACTCTTATCCTTCTTTCTTCACTTCAATCACAACCACCTCTCTCCCGCCTTCTCTCCCACCTTGTTCCATCTCTCTCAAGAGTGAACTCTAATTCGAACTCTTCTGTTCTGGTTTTACCTCTAGGCCATCTAAGCCTTCCGCCTTCCTTCTCCTCTTCCTCCCTCCCCACTCCTCCTCTCCTCCTCTCCTCCCCTCCTCCACTACCATCATCGCTGTTGTAGCTTGTAAAGCCATCTTCAAGCATCCTGCAATCAATCCTTCTGCGCCCATCAGATCTCATCGCTACTACGGCAATTCGATAATTGTGATACTACACTGTAGTCATACACCTATTCATAAGCTCACGACTGGACAAGATGGCTACAGCAGCGGTGGTAACACCTATCAAGTCCCACAAGGGCCTGTTTTCCTCGCGCGTCGCTGGCGGCCGCATGCCCTTGACCCCTTCGCCCCGTCAGCGCACAGCCAACAACACAGCAGCCGCCGCGGATTCTTCGCCATTCACCCCTAGAGGGTATCAGGACTCATCTCGCCCCAGCAAGTCGATTTATGGAGGGAACTTGTCTTCACATTTCGCCAAGTCCACAAGATCATCTCACCGGGACTCGCCCAAGTCCAACATTGCTCGCAGTGTAGCAACCCCACGCAAGGCACTCGAGCTTGGTGTGTCAGACTTCACTCTCGTTGGTACGGGTAACACAAAAACTCCCTCTACCAAGACAAAGAAAGCTCCGCTGCGCCAAAAGTCTAACAAGACCACACTCACCTACGCCGCCGACCGATTCATTCCTAATCGTAGCAACAGCTCCGCTATTGCCAATGTCGGTTCTGGCAAGTTGGATGTGCCTCGGCCCAAGTCGAGCAGCAACACCGAGTCGTCGTCGTCGATTCTCGCCTCAGCTACCGACGCCGCTATCGCTTCTTTGGAGGGTCTCAGCATCAACGATGATGAAGATGATGCCGCCACCTACTCACGACGCTCGCCAAACACAATCGCTTACCAAGACTCCCTCGCCAATGCTTGCGGCGTTAATTTGAACACCAGAATCCTCCAGTTCAAGCCCGCGCCTCCTGAGTCGTCAAAGCCCATCGATCTTCGCCAGCAATACAACAGACCCCTGAAGCCCGCCAGTGCTAGCTCTGCACAATTCAGACGGCGCATCGCGACCGCACCCGAGCGAGTTCTCGATGCTCCTGGTCTAATCGACGACTACTACCTCAACTTGCTCGACTGGAGCTCCGGAAACCAGGTCGCTATCGGTTTAGAGCGAAATGTCTACGTTTGGTCTGCCGATGAAGGTTCAGTCAGCTGCCTTCTCGAGGCCAACCCTGACACGTATGTCAGCAGTGTTAAGTGGTCTGAGGATGGAGCCTATGTCGGCGTTGGCCTGGGCACGGGTGAGGTACAGATCTGGGACGTGGCGGAAGGAGCGAAGATCCGAAGCATGTTCGGACACGACACCCGTGTTGGCGTGATGGGCTGGAACAAGCACCTCCTGTCCACCGGCGCCCGCAGTGGCCTCGTCTTCAACCACGATGTTCGCATTGCCGAGCATAAGGTTGCCGAGCTCGTCTCGCACACCTCAGAAGTGTGCGGTCTAGAGTGGCGCTCAGACGGTGCTCAGCTCGCTACGGGCGGCAACGACAACCTGGTTTCCATCTGGGATGCCCGCTCCTTGGCTGTCCCCAAGTTCACAAAAACAAACCACAAGGCTGCCGTTAAGGCTCTCGCGTGGTGTCCCTGGAACCTCAACCTGCTCGCCACTGGCGGTGGTTCATATGATCGCCACATTCACTTCTGGAACACGACTTCTGGTGCTCGCGTTAACAGCATCGACACGGGTTCTCAAGTCACCAGCCTTCGATGGAGCACAAGCTACCGTGAAATTGTCAGCTCGAGCGGTTTCCCCGACAACTCCCTCAGCATCTGGAGCTACCCAACCCTCGTCCGTAACGTCGAGATTCCCGCTCACGAGAGCCGCGTCCTCCACAGCTGCTTGAGCCCAGACGGTCAGATGCTCGCGACCGCAGCCGCCGACGAGAGCTTGAAGTTCTGGAAGCTCTTCGAGAAGAAGGCAGGCCAGGCTGTTGCGCCAGCTGCCAAGGCCGAGATGGCCAGGCAAATGACTATCCGGTAAGCGACTCGCCGTCGCGGTGGCCTCGAAAGCTACGAACATCAACAGTAGGTATACAGTTTCGTTCTGGCATTGTCTGGTACCGGCGGTTTGGAGTGACTTTAGCGCGGCGTTTGGGGATTCACGAAGCGATAACGACAACATTATTCCCCTACGACCGAGACTTGGTCATGAGCTACGACACAAATCGCCCACAGAGGAGGTCCTCCGTGCGGATCATTTGAAATTATTGTATTTTTAGTTCTCGGGAGCTGGCTAGATTTTTGCCCTCCAATGTTTGGGGTTAGGATGGCAGAATGGATAGGGGTTTTTAATAGAGGCAGTATTTCTCTTGGACTCGATGGCTTAGTAGATAGTGAACATGTCGTTAAGATATGGAATTCGCTGCTCGTGAGACTTGATCAAATGTGAATGAGTGCCAAACCACGAGGTATCGTGGTTCAACCATCTCTAGTAGAAGCCAAGGCTGACAAACCTCAATACCAAGCAAGTACTTGTTTTTACTATTTTAGCAATTAAGCAGGACAGATAGTACCTAGGTAGTACTTACTGACTCTGCGATACATACCTAGGTAGGTACATAGGTAGTTCCCGATAGGTGTTAGTGCTAGAGGTAAGTAAGTGCATGCCTTATCTTATCATCACTAGGAAGGTACCTAACGGGGGCCGTCAGGACTGTATTAGATAAGCAGACCAGCGGCGCTACGGGGGCATTTCCCTAGAATTGACAGGACCTGGGGGAACTTGACCCCAACACCACCTACCGACCTAGTCGTAGCATTACACCACCGGGCAATGAATGCTGTCGCAATAGACAGCCGCATCGCGCACCGACTATCTGCCTACGAAGACTGGCACATTGAGCTGGCCTAGGCGATCAAATTGATACTTGTTTAATCTAGCCATTGAGGGGAGGTTTCTGGCGAGTGGAATAACGCTATTGATTCACTCATTCAGCTACGGCTGCGCACCTACTACCTGTCACATCTTACGCAACCTCCAACTCCTTCTCTCTCTCCCTCGCATCCGACCAAGCCTATAAACTATCGCTACAAGAGTACTGCACTGACCTGACATAAATTCAACGTCGTCGCTTCTGCTACATTGTGTCTTTCCGCTTTGATCGCTGCATTATTGGTACCACGACGAGCGGCAATACGTAGTAGTATTGTGCCTCCGCCACGCTGCTCGCTTCCGCGGGAGTATTCATCACCACGCATGTGCATCTATCATCAAACAACTCGCCCCGGTCAATATGTCGAACTCTCAGGTCGGCAATGTCTACCAGCAGATAATCAACGATGTGATCGCGGCGTCGCGAGTTGATTTCGAGGAGGGCGGTATTGATGACGCAGTGTTGGAACAGCTAAGGAAGGTAAGCAGCATGCACGGTTTCCATCAACTTCCACGCGCGTTCAAGCGAGCGGCGGTATCTAGCCATCGAAATCCCCTTCAACAGCATGCTCTGAGTAGAAAGAAAAGAAAAAAGCACATAAAATGATGGGGTCGCGGAGTGTAGAGACGCTGGCGTTGGGAGTTGCTGGGCTCCTTTGCTCCCAGAGCGAAGGGCTGCCTACTGAGTCGGTCAGCCGGAGGGGTGAGAACAGGCGGGTTGGGAGACGGGGCGGGCAGCACTATTTGGGGCTTTTATCCCTTCCAACTCCCTCCAGTCGAGCCCGATGACTCAGACCCCCCTCATTGGCTGGTTCCCGCCTTGAACCCCGCTGCACGTCACGTGCTCTGGCTCCTTCTCTCTCCCCCCCTCACCCTATTTCACAGCGCCTACCCTGGTGTTTGCCTCACTCCGCGACCCATAAGGCTGCACTACCCGAAGCCAGTCCCAGACATCTTTGTTCTTTTCCTTTTTGTTTTGCTTTTCTTTTCTTTCCTTTCCTCTTCAAGTTTGCTCCGATGCTTCGAGGCAGGTTTGGTTTTGTGCCTGGCTGACACAGTGTAATCGTAGGGCTGGCAGAAGAAACTCTCGCAGCAGCAGCTCGCTGTCTTCCCTTGGGATCCTAAGCCTGATCCGCCGCCAGCTCCCGTCACCACTGCTACAGCACCCCAGACTATTCCTGGGCCATCTCCGCCTTTGCCTACTACTAATGGAAACGGTTATGCTCAACCTCAGCCGCCTGTGCCCCAGGCTATGCCTATCCCCGTACCGGCCGGACAGGCCACGGGTGATCCGCGTATTAAACCAGAGCCAAATGTCAAGATAGAGCCTGGTCTGGAAGGCAACCAAATCCCTCAAGCCATTCCCCAGGGCGACCCAAACAATATCGCACAGCAACGTGTCATCGCACAACAGCGTGTCATTGCACAGCTTCAGAACCAATATGGTGAACGAGCTGCTGCATCCATCAACAAGCTGAGGGAGCAACCTGGCGGCGGTGTCGCGCAGCCACAGAACCAACAAAGAATGACAAATACACCCGTGCCTCAGGGATATCCAGCTCAGTATCAAAATATCCCTCAGCAGCAATACCGACCCAATGTGCCTCAAAATCCCGGAGCTCAGCAGCAACAGCAACGCGTTCCCGTGGCTAACGGTCAGCGGCCTCCTAACTCTCAGCTTGACGGGGCAGGGGAAAGAGACAGCCATGTTGGTGTTCTTATTCAGCAGTCCCGCAATGGTGAGGCTACTGAGATGGGTCAGGTAGAGATAGATAATATCCTCCATGCACAAATTGCTGCAAGAGCTAAGGCTATGGAAGGGGGCGGCTTAATGGTACCCCTAAAGCATGCTGGAAAGGGTAAGGGCAAGGCCATCGCCCGTAATTCTTCGGGTACACCCGCTGGGCCGTCTCGCTTCGACGGGCCAGATGACGATGTCAAGGATGAAGATGATATGGAAGATGATGAGGATGCTATTAACTCCGACCTCGATGACCCTGACGACAATGTCGAGGAGAACGAGGATGATGAAGAAGGTGGTCAGATCATGCTTTGCATGTATGACAAGGTCCAGCGCGTCAAGAACAAGTGGTGCGTCCCTCGTTGTGGATTTCTATTTGGAATTCTTGGCTAATCCTGCTGTAGGAAGTGTGTACTCAAGGACGGCGTTCTCAACGTCAATGGAAAGGACTATGTCTTCCACAAGGCGACTGGTGAGTATGAGTGGTAGTAGCGTTATGAGATATATGGTTTTCTCAATGAGTCACGCATGCGGAGATGATTTACGAAGGTCCAGGAATATTTGACGCTCCGTTTCGTACTCTCTCTCTCCCTCTCCCTGATGCCATCCGCCATTCTCCCACAAAAATTCACCAAAAAATAAAATCAAAATCGCAGATCTTATTCGCTTTTTATGCCTTATTCCTTCATAAATTGTCAGGCGTAAGGGGACAAGGGGGTTTTTTCCTTTGCTTTTTTTCTTTCTTCATTTTAGACGTGGACGGGGCAAGAGGCAAGATCAGGTGCGAGTGGAATGAATGGATGAACGCTAACACATACGTGCGTCTCGCCAAAAAACATGAACGGACGAACGGATTTGCTTGGGGGTTCTAGCAGGTATAACAGAATGAGATGTACGATTTGGTTTATAGACAATACGAATTGCGTTTTGCAGCCTCTTTTCTTCTTCTTTTCTTCACCTTCTCTGTTCTGTGATCTGTGATCTGTTCTGCGATATTTGGAGTCTCGTTGCCAAATTAGGTTGGGAAATCGGCGGGCTTGCTTTGCTGTGCTTAAGGGAAGAGAGAGAGGGAGGGAGGGTGCTGTTATGATATATTTGCGTGCTATACGCGTTATCCTAGGAAGGGATCCTGAATGCCCACGCGGCCATCTATTAGAAAATATCGTGGTAGGCATATTATATTACTAGAGCTAGTATATTAGTGTTGATAAGGGCATTTGGTGGGAAATAGTCGAACTAGACTATGTGATTAACTTTGTTTTGCAATTTGGTGCTCACTCACAATCACTCGAGGTAATACTAGAGTTTTAACTCAGTAGATTACCACTTGCGAAGCGGCTCCTTTTCGCTCAGGAGATCCGAGTCTATGATGTACAAGCTACGACGTCATGTTGCAAGGGAATTGCAATTACTTTTTCAGTAATCACGACAAGCATTGAGGATGGGGATAAGCAAGATTTATAAATAGTGGTGCTTTCCAACTCAGCGGAATAACTATCATGTCTAAGCACTGATCTGAACCCTTTTTTCTCATTCTTAGATTTATCTATATGGTTCCCTGGCAAGATCTGGTTAACGTTAAATAGCTAATCCAACAGAAGTGGGTGGTATTTTCATTGGTATGGGCAAAAGCGGACCTATTCACACCTACTTTCGCGATGGATGCAGGTCCTGGTCGTGAAGTTACGCAGGTCGTTAAGTATGTGTAATTAGGAGCAGCTAGGTTAGTGACTTATTGTATCATAATCCATATATCAAGGGAAAGCCTAGCTGGACGACAGTAAACTCAGTTTTCCGAGCAAAGGAGCAGGGAAAGATGAGTAATTGTGAGCGGGATCTAGGAATTGGGTAACGTGGCTGGAGCACATCACTGTTGAAAATTATATTGGGTAGAAAAGATAGTTTAGTACTTATTCAGACACCTTCAACCCGTAGTTTAAGGCATACATGCTTATTCAGATCTATTTTCATTGGTACAGATTCCTTTCTCATCTATCCCTCTCGCTCTAGACTCTCGGGAGTATGCCCATGTAAAGCATATACACTTGATGAAAAGTGGGAAAGACAGTGTGGCGATGGATAGAGAGGCATAAGAGTGTAATAGACTTCTATAATCTCTCTGCATCCCCGTCTCTAGCCCGAACTTCCAACCCTCTTACCTCTTTCCTCGTTATTTTTCGCCTTTACTCTGAGCTGCCAGGCTCACATCACCAGATACAATAAACAGACATTTAGATACACAGAGAGAATGCAAAAAGGGGGCAAGTCAGTATCACCAGCGAGGCTACACGGCCGTACTACAGATCTACCTACCCAGGTGCCTTATCACAACTGACCTATTAAGCTAGTATTTAACTGATCGACTGCCTGACCGAGTGAGTAAATGAATGAGTGACTCACTCACTCAATCGCCTTAATTCCACTGCGCTCCACACACCCAGGCACAATCAGAATGGCCAGGAAGTGAGTACAAACGAGGCGTCATTTACACACAAAGGTAGATATCTACATGACATACATCCATGCATATGGCATACATACGTACGCACGTACGTACAAAGTTGGGTGTAACTCGACATTCAACATGTATGACTCACTTTTTCAGTTTTGGGGTATGAAGAAGGCAGGTCACACACACCACCATGGCACGACCAATTACATTTCGTTTCAAAGTATTTAAAACGTACGACACAATGTTCGCTGAAGCTGCTCGTATACCCATCAGTTAGATGTACAGAGCGTCTAGACCCCAGACGTAAAAAAGAGGAAGAAGGCATGAAGGAGTATGATCGTAAGCCGGCATACCATCGTTCACTACATAAACAAGCAACGCAAGACCAGGCTTCACATGTATATACAACATCTCAATATTTGGAATTCACACAGATGAAGTCTAGTGTATTATCAACAGTACACTCTACCGCCTGATTACTACATCATGTATACATGTACATGTACGTGCTTGTTCGTAGTGAGTGACGGGCAGAATCTTGTCTAATTACCTTCCTACCTCCATCGTTCCGAGCGCGAGGTCATGAGAGTCACGTAAAAGTCCCAGCGAGATCATTTCATGTTGGTTATTACCTACCTTCTCACATTCACAGTTACATCGAATGAGTCAAGTCCACGAGACACCCATGAGGCTGAGCCCCCTTCTCTACTCGCATGTGGCGCGAGCCGCGGCGACAACTGCAGCTGAGTCTTTGAGGGCGGCGATTGAGGGTTATGAGCAGTATCATATGGCCAAGACTCAGACCGAGAAGAATGTCTAGGCTATCTCGGTTCTGATGCCTATGCTTATTTGCTGCCCACCTTCTTGACTGCCTGCATGCTCGCCTGTCGCTTGATAGTGGTGCGCGGGGCAGTATAAGGTGTTGCCATCTGATGTTGGCAAGTCAACTGTATTGAGTCCATCATACCTTGCGTCTCCGTAGTTCAGCCGGCTCCTATGGACGCGGCTGACGGCGGATAATGAAAATGGGATACTTCGCTAAGAATGAGCGACCCGCTGCTAGCCATGGAATGGCGTGAAACATTGAGAGAGCCGACTATCGGAGATTATATCCGTTAGATGTAGGTAACACTGGCTTCAATCATGTCCTCGGTGAGAGATCATATACGACGTATCACCGGGGGAGACGGGATCCAATAAGATCATGGTAAAACAAGGCAGCAACAGTAGAGTGCAAAAACTTACTCGTGGCCTGGTGGCCTGGTGGCCTTGTCCTTGTTTCGTTCTGCTTTTTTCACTTCCTCTTACCTCGGCGCTTTCGAATCTCATGTATCAGGAAGGCAAAGACACGCGAGACTGCCCTTGTCCAATCATCCATTACCAGTTCCTACTCTTCAGAGCCGCCAGCACCGCCGCTCAATTGCAGAAAATTTCCTCGTGGCCACATCCAAGAAACTCGAGAACACGACAGCTGCGCTCATCCGCTTCATCCGCTTCTTGTTGGTACTGTAGGTGTGCACCGCTTATCATCACTTCCGGGCCCGGTCCCACGGTTCACCAGCCACCCTTACCTCGCCCGCGCCCAGTAATGGTGCCTGGTAGGACTTCCCGGGCTCCCTCTCTCAGACGTGCGCGCCCCGGCAATTAGCCCGAATTGTGTGTACCGTATTTGTTTTGACGGGTGGGGAGAGTGTCTCGCGGAGAGGAGCGCCGTAGGCCGACTGGTTAGACGAGATCCCGACAGCGTGGCTCCGTCATCCTTCGCTCGCCAGGCCACGTCTTGTGATTCCTCGTAGCGCTGGGTCGTCATAATATGGTTTCACGCTAGGTGACCCAAGACGGCTTATCATAAGCACCAATTAAGGCCAAGAGCGACGACAGCTGGTGCTAGTTTGTTTGTTTGTTGAGTACGTGGTCTTGAAGACTAGTGAATGGGTCGTGATAGACGCGTCCTTCGAGGATGGGTCTACACTGACACACCAAGCCTTGACAAGATCGTCCGACACTTACCTACTGTGTGAGTTTCTAGCCTGGTGTACAGTGTCAGTATCTAGCATCGCCACATCGTCTGTTCATTTCGAAATTAGACGAGCTGTAGCAAAACTCTAGCTAGCATCATCTGGAGCTGTGACTTCTTGGCATCGCTCTGATGTCAAAAGAAGGGCTGTACTAGGATCGATTATCCAGTTGCCAAAAGGAACAACGTGCCAGCGTGTGAAGTGATGTAAGCCAGATGTTGAACGGCGCGGGGATGACGGATAGGAAAAGTTGAGCGAGATTGAAAGACCCGAAGCCTTGGTGACGGGGAGCGGGTATGCGGAAAAGCCTACCAACCACCTAACCATCTGGGCGGCGACATTACCTACCTCTTACCTGACTTGATGAAGTACACTACATGTAGGTACGCGACTGACGTGTTCGCGCCATTACTCAGCCTGATTACTTAGCCATAGCCACCAAAGATCCCTCCACCAAGGTTGAGTCAGCGGGCTATACTCGAAATCCATGTAGGTAGTGTAATTGACAATTTATAAGTTTACACAGTATTGGATATCATGCTCTTCGTACGACGCATACGAGAGGACCTTGTCTCTTGAAGGAAGAAGAGAGAATGGCAGGATCTGGCCCCGGTTGACCGATCACATGGCTGATGGCGTGTGTACTGTATGTAGGCTGATTGGACTGACGGCTTTACGATGGAGCGCCGTGCGACCGTTGGTTTGATTGACTGACCGATTGTGTCAATGTCTTGTTGTTGTTGTTGTTGTTGCTGTTGTTATCTTGGGTTGTCTCACGTCGGCCTCATACTTGGACATATCTGTCCTGTTAAAGCGACCGCTGTGGATATAGGTAAATAGGCAGTACATCTAAGTACCTATAGATAGGTATTCTACCTTAGCAACACAAAGAAGTGTTTTCGAGTTACCTAGGCAGCTGAGTTGAACGCCGTTTTAGCCATATCAACGCCCTGCATGTCTAGTTGGGTAGTAGGTAGGCACTGGGCACCTACTCATGGGGGCTCAGGGGCGATCTACCATACAGATGGTCATGGCTTGGGACAGACAAATAAATTCATATCTCGACATCTAGGAAGCTATTCCTTCAGGATGACATAGTGCGCTATCAACTACATGTAGGCCGAGAAGGAAGTGAAGAATGAAATGCGTGAAGGGAGGGAGAAGCTGGGCGCACGTTTCTGGTTGGTCCGAAAGGCTGGCGAAAGTCCCTGCCTGTTCCTGCCTGCTCTTGTCTCCCTTGTCGAGCTGGGTGCTGGCTGGGTACTGGCTGGGTACTTCCTGCCTTGGTAAAGGAGCGAGAAGTCGACCCGACAGTCTGGTACGCGCTAGTGTGCCAACCAATCAGAGTGCGATGGTTTCAGGCCGCCTATCCCAGTAGGGCAGCTCAGCACAGCACTAGCTCTGCAGTCGGCAATTACGGGAGTATATGTACATTTACGAGTTGTGAATTAGGTACCTACTTAGTGTATTAGCACGCCGACCCTCCACTGCACTTAGATGTTTAGTAGTCTTAGCAGTGGTTTTAGTTGGTACATATCAGGTATCTACATGTATTACGGGGCCTTGGCTAAAATAACATATGTAGTACTTGTGCTTAAATGTATAGGTAACCGGGTATGTTCTGCTTACGGCCCTCAGCGGATTATACAGTACGTGAGTAGGTAGGTAGTACAGGCGTAAGTAGAGGTCATGTAGCGATTCATTTGATCTATCTAGGTAGGTAGGTACCTCTAAGTACTAGTAGATAGGTATACGGGCATTGTGGTGGGTGAGCTAGCTCCCTGTTACATGTATGTATCAGCACATTGTTGCGGTGTGTTGTGTGCAGGTGGTATCACGAGATGTCTCTACCATGTGGGCAGCATCAGGAAATGGATCTACAGATGTACATATGGTAAAAGACTACCTGGCTAGTATGTATCTGCGTGTAGATAGACTCGGCTCTCTACAGATATACAGGTGTTTGGGAGGTTTAACTACATCTTCTGCTTAGCTCGCCTATCTGATGTTACCTAGGTAGAATTCCATACTTCCCCTGCTACGTACTCGCCTATGGTACGCAGTCAGCATCTTTCCCATCCCTCCCCATAAGTATGTTCGGCATCATCGTAACACCACCCACCCACTATCTCTCTCTTGTTAGCTGCGGTTTGCATCGTGTGCTGGCGGATGACCGTGCCCACTTGAATCGACATGGCCATGGGCCGACTCGAGTGGACAGGCCGTGATCGCCAAGTTGATTTATTGAAACCTGACGTGGCCGATGATACGTCGTGTATGTACACGACATAGCCTATATGTGTATGTATGGGTATAGGTAGTAAGGCAGTCCGACAGTATCCCCTGTCGTGATTGGACTTGGGTGACGCTGTTGAAGACTAAGTGATAATATGCTGCTGAAAAAAAAGGCGCTTTGCTTCCCCAAATACCCCACGGGCGCTGTTTCTTGTGTGCACGTGAGATCTAAGAAGGGCATGTTGACGTGGTTGGCTCGTAGGTAATGCTAGATGCGCCGCAATCATGCACGCTTCCGGGAGACTCGCAAGTTCTCTGCCAGTGGAGATTAGATATTGCCAGCATTTTTGACGTTGCCCAAGTCCTCTCGGCCGGCAAAGTGGCCTCGAGCTTGCGGTCTGTTGGCACATATCAGCAGGCCTCACGGTAGGCTAACTGCATCGTGACTCTCTCGCCTCTGTAGAGTTTCAGTATTCGGTGACCGTGAGGTGTAGTTGAGTACTACGGTCATATCGGGGCTTGTCATGGACGCTTGCCTGCACCATCGAGATCGTAGACGGATGGATCGTTGCAGCTGCACGGCGTTCTACTGACAGATCTATGAATGCCCCATCCGCTATATGCGAGCTGTGTAAGAGAATTGGCATCTAGACTGCAATTTGTTCTACCATATCATGACTCGCCGTCAATACACTGGGTCTGTAGCTTCGTTGTTTGATCATGCTGCACTAGGAAAGCGCCTGCTCCCCGGAACTGATGGTCTTGGTTTGATTTCATCTCTTCTGTGATGGTTTGACATGTTGGTGTGTCATTGCTTCGCAAAGCGCCTTGAAGCCCCGCCGTCTAGGTATGCCGAAAACATAGGTACTGTTCGCGGTGCTTGCAATCCAGCTATCGTGCATCAGTTGAAGTGAGGTCACACCAAATAATGACGTTGTCGCCCCAACGCACTATATATATATGTCTGACTTGGCGAATTGAACGACTTTTATCGATTATGAGTAAAGCTTCGCCCACGCGCTTACTAGCACAGAGGCTTCAACAAGTTTTCCACGATCTATAAAATGCTTAAAACGTGCAAGGGGGAAATAGCCTCAGCGATACTTCATTAGCCACCGCATTATGTGGCATTTCTTGACGTAGGAGTCAGAATACAGACCCGGAGCGATTGCCTATCGACTCGGAGATTTCAAATCGAGAAATCAATTGTCTGATGATTCCCAGGGCGGCCTGCTGCTTGACGAGGAATCACTCCGGGGGACTTTTCTGCCTAGGTATTGGTGAGTGATCTGTTGCATTGTTGTCCTAAGCGATGCAACGGCTGCGCTTATGCATTTTTTAGTACAGGGAAAATGGTCCGGATCTACCGAATACACACTCGACACCACCCCATGACAACACCACTAGCCACATAGTCTGTGGGGAACCAAGGGGGCCATGGATGCTGCTTCCCAGAGGGCCGGGAGAAGATAAATCTGTTTATTGGTTGTAGGATAAGTGAAGACTCCCCAAGAATGTTCCCATGTACTTCTGTGGGACCATTGAGATATGCCTATTCCGCTGGTGTGCATGAAAGTCGAAACAAGGGTGGAATATAACTGTGTACGCTCGTTGATTGTCCTTCAAGTCATTTTCCTGTCGGCAGCCGGATTTGCGTTTCCCACCAACGTTGCTATTGGGTCTACGGGGCTGTTAGATGCAGACTGTCGCTAGTTAGAGCCATTGCCTTGGTATTATATTTTACCGGCAACTTAGATGCCGATTAGGTATGAGGCGCGTATTGAAAATGTATGGTAGTGGTGTAGAAACGAACCAGCTTTTAATATCGGGGACTAGAGGAAGACACAAAGAGGACTATTACTGAGAGAAGAATGCTGCTTGGCCTATAATAAGATCTCGTTGATTGGTCCATGACACTAGAGTTTGGCTATGATATGGATGTGGTTCTCTTCTCGAGAGTTGGGCTTGTCTGCAGCACTCTTTGCACTTAGTTATAGTAGCTGGCTGGTTAAAGTGCCAACTCAATACTTTAGCAAGCAACCTGCGACCTCCTTAGCTAGACGCTTCCGAGCCGGACCTTGGATGATGATCGGTGGAGCTGAATCACTGTATAGCGGTGTTGGTATCCGTAAGATGTGGCTTTCTTCCTGACCAAGATGCAAGGTCACACTGCATGACGGTTGGCGGAACCAGCACAGTCAGTTGCACCAATTTTCATGCGTACTAACGGCTGCCCCCCTTGACATGAGTCCCGTGGGATGGTTCATTGGCGGGAGGTCCCGGTGGTGTGGATGTCCTAGCCCGGTACGTATATGACAAGTTTATGTTTCTGCCGGTAGGGTTTGAAAGAAACAACGGTCCGATCTAAGTGCCCCGAGACAATTTTTTAGACTGAGCCCAGCCAACAGAATACGAAATGGTATATCAGACCGGAGCTCGGGAAGCCTCAAGAGAAGCCGTTAGTATTCCTCATTCAAGCAGCGAATAAAATGTATTATGCACTCACTAATGCCGTGTGTCCAATGCGTTTGGGCCACCACAAGCTTGTATCACTCTTGCGATCCAGAGTCACTGCTGTCCTTTCTCATACTTCGTAGTTCCGCTGCTCGTCTCAGCATCGACATGAACAAACTCACCAACAACTTACAGCAGGGAAGCAGAACAATTGTTGGTATGTGAGGCATGGAGAGCGCCAGCGGGTGACATAGTATGCAGTACGGATGATACGATGGCGAGATACTGTCGAATCAAGACTCCATCCTGTTTCCTGTAGTGATAGAGTCCTTTTAGGTATTTGGCAACCCCTTCTCCGTTATTGATTAGGCATAACGCGTGGAAACTCCAGTTGGTACTACTCTCAGTGGCCGTCATACTAACAGTAAGCTTGGTGGTATGCTCTATTGGCCTCGTGCTAAAAGCACGACTTTCGCGGGCTGCATGTCTGATGGGCCCGACTAGATGTGCGTCGCTCTCACTTGTCACACGCGGTCCAGCGCGTCTGAAGCAAGCACATATACCGGGCTATGGCGGACAAACAATGTCCAGTAACCTAGGTACTTTGATATCGAGAATATTATGTGGCTAGCGGAACGTTTCGTTCACTTCTAGCCGAAGGCAAGCGCAACAAGGCACTACTTGGAAGCCATATATATGAATTCCCATTTTTGCTCGAAGGTGATTTAATGGGCTTGATGAGCGCCAAGTGCAATGTTGGTAAGACACAGGTGGGTACCGTCGACGCTTAGGAGCAGAAAGTATCCATTTACCTTCCAAGGTTTGCACTAATCCGTACTAAGAAGTATATTTAGGTATTTTGCTAGACATCCTAGGGTAAACCCTCTTAGCCTTTTTACTTTTAGGGACATGTTCTCGTCATCGTGCACACCAAGTTCCTTGGGCCAAAGCTATGCCATGCTGTAGGTGCCTACATACATATGTATCCAGAAATTCTAGTAAGTGGACGCCCTTGTACCTCCTGGAAAAGGTACCTCGAGATACAAAGCACCTCCGTCCTCTTCCCCTTTCAGCTAGCCGGAGCTTGGGAGTCGGGTTTCCAGCAACATACTCTTGCAAACTGGAAGTAAAGTGGACTGATCTCTGATGTGCCTAGGTATCGTACACAGGTACCTTAAGTACTTTATGTAAGCTGGTCTTCTTTATCATCAAGTCTTAATCTTAGTAACACGGAAAATCTGCACAATAGCAAGACTCGAGGCGCTTGGCAAACCTTGAGGCAGGTATACTACTACCTAGATACTGTAACTAGGTATCAACATTATAAAAAAAGACAAAGGGGATAATGGGAAAAGAGAGACAGAGAGACGCGGGCTTGAGACTCTGGGACTTGGGATCTGGGCTAAATTCTCAGACCCAGTAGTACGACATACGACATACGACATAGTTACTTGGAGGGCGTGTTGGTGGAAACTGTTGGCTGCACTTTGTTATGCTGCATTGTCACCAATATATCTCTTTGCAGTATCATGTCGAATACCGAGCGACATACCAAGAAGGCCTCGCAATGGCCATCTACGCGTGCACAACATTCAATCATGCTACCGTGCTATACATACAATACATATAACGGCCTGGTCAAGTCTGTTGTGTGCGATTGTATCCCTCCGATGACACGGGCCTACTTCGTACTCACAACCCCGAAGTCTCTGCAAGCTCAATTCGACGATATCTACACTAGCCCAGGCCAGGTATGCCTACGCCTTCTCATGTTCTATAGGCAATCTACGCGCTACTGCAAGTCATCGTCAACGGATACTAGAAGTATTGGAACGCGAGTGATATGTTGTTCTCGGGCCTGTCAGCGCACAGCTACTGGTACCTCGATCTGTCCACAGGTGTGTGTAATTATGTAAGTATGATTGACCTAGCCTGAATCCAGTTAAGACTCGCTCTGGAGGCATCTGTGCTTGCGAAACAAAACGACCGACAACGAGCATCAAGCAACAGCACGAAAAATGACCTGCATGGTAAGGTAGTACTTGATGTAGGTGCCAAGGTGAATTACCCTTATGTATCTTAGGTAGCTACCTACCTATATGTACCTGCTAGGTACTGTACCTACTTCGTACTTACACGCTCTGCCTATTACCTCCTAAGCAGTCTCACCTTGGTACCTAGGTACGGTATACCTATATGTATGTATGATGTATGTAGGAAAGTTAGTTACCACGGCCGTGGCTTTGAGCCATGGAATTAGCCCGCCTGGGTAAGCATCTTTCCCAGGCGTGTACGGAGTATCTTGGACCAGGATAGATACATGCCCGAAGCTGGCAGGCATCCCCACATGGCACGTCCAGCACTCAAGTTGCGCCCGTACACTGGACACACCAAGTAAACAGTAGATACCTCTCTAGGTACATGTACGTAGGTGGTCGAGGTGGTTGAGTAGCGCGTAGGTATTCTGCGCTACTTGCCTGCCAAAGACTTCTAGTGCTGTGGGTTAGCTAGCGTCTCTCGTCCCGCTCCTCTCGGTCCCCTCTCTGCGCGCCTCTGCGTTCGGCTACGCCCTGGTAGTGCGGTTTCCGGTGCCATGTCGTCAACGCAGGTAGTCGACGTAAGTAGTGACACCGCCTACTTGGGTGCTGGCATTACACTCACTACGCTACCTCTAGGTACCTAGGTACTCCGTAGGGCAGACTTGTAGGAAGTGTCCAGGCGGGCGACCAAGGGCGGAGTCCAGCGACAGAAGGATACGGTAGGTATCCAACCTGGTTCGCCTGGAAGACTGAGCCACCACCATCAGCATCACCGGCACCACTGGCAGCAGGGTGCGCTAAGCCCTGTTGAGTCAGCGCGCGCTGTCGCACGACGTCCCGCCCTTGTACTCCGTGGTCGCTGTACCTGCACCCCGACATTTCCCACCGCTCCCTGCTGCTCTCTCGCACGACTTGCGCTTCGTATCTATATTTTTAAGTAGGTACTTATATAGGTATGTACACATAGAGGAGAGTACCTAGGTACCTATGTGTACATAACAGGTAGGTAGGTCCCTTCCCCGGGGTACGTACCGCTTGCGCTTCTGCGCTTCTGAGCCCAGCCAACCATCGCTCCCCCACCGTCACCACCAAACTTACCTACCCAATCTTTCGAACGATTCCTTGCTCGACCTTTTTGCGACCCCTACCTACATCATCATAATACCATGCCTACGTGCTCTCGGCTTGTGCTTAAATATTAAACTTCTCGCCCGCTCCGTGTCCGATTCTTCCGCTCTTTTGTCCCTGCTCTGTTGTATCGTCGCCACTCAATAGCTAGCTAGATCACCTGCGCTCAACACCCTTCTTGGCTGTCTTCGCGTTTGCATTGCTCGCACTGCGCTGCTAACCCCAAACCCTTCCCGTCGTGACCTGTTCTTCAACTTCTACCGTACCAGACGCACCACCACGATCGATTCCTCCCGGCGGCTCCTGTCCGCTTGTGCCTCATGCATCGCTTTCCTATCCTCGTGCTCAAGCGACATATTCGAGGCTTTCCTAGCTCTTGTATAGGTTCTTCGAGGTCCATCTGACCTCCCAACTCGCTCTGCTTGAGCAATTCAGATAGCTACTCATTGCCCTCCCTGCATCTACCAGTCTGGAGCTAGAGACGTAAACATAGCAAGGGAGCCCGTGCCGCAAGTCAGCTTGTTGCGTCTAGATTGGCTATGGCTTATAGCGGCATGAACGGGTACGCGAGGCTCGACACATAGCTACCCTCTTTCACTACTACTTTGCTTGCGTATCTAACCCGCGCTCCTGCAGGTCTTCAACCACCATGACCATTGACCAACCCGACGACAGAGCCAATCCTGATTGGTGGCGCAAATGGTACTTTGCGCAATGGGGCAGACATTATGGCACATTCAAGCAGGGCCGGTACCTGCTACCCTGTGATGATGTAGGCTCAGAATACCCCGTGAACCTTGTTCGTTCCCCGTTGACACCTCGGTTACAGGTTGAATGCGATAGATTGGACATTATGCACAAGTTTTTCTTGGTTGCTAGGGAACACGAAGCCTCGGAATTCAGAGGCCTTTTTACACACCGACTGCCTGACCGCCCTAGGATTCTAGATCTGGGTTGTGGCACCGGCATTTGGGCCATTGATACAGCTGAGTCAGTTGGCAGTCCGATTCCTGATAAGAGCTCGTTCTAACTGTAGCTAGCCGACTTGGTGGACAAGGCAACTATTATATCGAAGGTTGGGATCTCAACTTGACACAACCTGAAGCGTGAGTCAAGATTAACCCCATAATCCGGACTCACACTGATGACTTTGCAGGATCCCACCTAACTTATACTTCTTTCGCCGTGATATCGAGGATCCTTGGGAGAAAGTAGAACCTAATTCGTTTGACTTGATTCACATGCGTGCCCTCAATGGGAGTATAGAAGATTGGCCGCGGCTTTACCACCAAGCGTTCAAGTATGTGTATTACTTCAGCCGCATTACCTATTTTCGTAACTCTAACAATTTCTCGCAGACATCTGAAACCTGGCTCTGGGCTAATAGAACAAGTGGAAATCGACTGGCGTCCTCAAGCTGACGGCGACCCAAGACCATTGGCCACTTCAAAACTTGCGGAATGGTCTCATAAAGTACACCAAGGCTTTATGCGCGCTGGAAAGAGACTTGAAATGGACTCAAATACGAAGACAATTCTTGAAGATGTCGGCTTTGTTGATGTTGAGCACAAGAAGATACCTATAGCCTTTAATCCTTGGCCGCTTAACGAGCACGAAAAAGAGATGGCTAGGTGGTTTAACCTAGGGCTAACCCAAGGCTTAGATGGATTGACATTCCAAGCGGTCATACATTGGCTGAATTACTCGGAACATGAGGTGCGTGAGCTACTTCAGAGAGTAAAAGAAGACATCTGCAGACGTGAATGGCGGACGTATTGTACTTTGTAAGTATATCATCCTATTACTTTCCACATTAGTGCTGACACAAATACTAGACATATCTATACAGCACGGCGGCCACCATTACCAGGTAGACGAGTTTGAATCACCCGTAGGCCTTGAAACCTGCTCACGGCCTTAGTGGGTACCACAGCTGATATCACCCCAGAACTAATGCTATAGTATCGACTGCTGAGGTCAGCCCTTACTTCCATGGCTCTCCAGTTCACATCAAAGCTCGCCGTATAGACTTTTGGATAAGCTCTATGACAGACAGAGAATAGCCAATGAATTCTTGACAATAAGCTGCGGTTGATGGAAGAATCAGAGCCTCCTTCTCTAAACATCTTCATGGCAAGCTCTTGGCCATATTATGCTGGGCATAATAATATTGAGGCGTATTAAATGAGCGTGAACAATCGACCTGCAGCTCACTATAACTGACTATGCTGTCATGGATCTCTCGATAGCGACACAATTCTCTATACGCAATAGGTGTCCTTACCAGCATTGCGACTACATCCACCTTTTAACCGTCACCTTTACGGACCAGTGAAGGATTCAGATAGGATGTGATGCTACATGGCTGCATGAGGTGGGATCGGTACGCCTGATCGGAACAAATCATGTCACTTCAAGGCGTGCACTGCCACTCCATTCACATGGACCAACTATGCATTTCCCCGGCCTTTCACTGGATGAGAGGGTCAGTGTTGGAGGGCCGGAGTCCCGCAAAGTCTGTATTGTGTTGAGCTATCCTCGTGGCATTTGGCGCAGCATCCCGTTTTTGGCATGCGCTGCTTTGCGAGCGTTTAGAGATGAGATGTGCTGTGAATCAATCCAGCACCCGCCAGCTCTCGATCTTGCTCGATATCAGTTTGAGCAAAATATGCCCTCATCATCCGCATACAAAGGTTCAAACTATGCTAGCGACAGAAAGTCGCTCGTTCAAAGCATATTCGCCGACCCACTGTCTAATAGTGTGTAGTTGAGTATCATCGACCCAGTCCTAGGCCCCGTAACAATTCTTCCATTAGAGAGCCCTTCATATCTGTAACAATAAACATGTTTTGGGCCACGGCCCACTTACACTCGACTGTGATCAATTCAGCGCCTCATTTTTCTCCCACTTTCCTATACAGGTGTGATTGGATAGTTTCCATGCACCAGAGACCTTCGTCACCGGATTGTTGGGATTGGCAATCCTCTCAGCTAGGCTTGCCCATGGCCGAACAGTGAACCCACTTCCTCTTGTTGTAGAATAACTGCCAGAATTCTGACTACTTCGAGGACTACCAATCAAGGCTCTTCAACACAGCACTTGGCAGCACCCCAAGACGCCTTAAACCGTTAGATGCTACTCTACTGTATGCCTTACACCTTGTTGCTACACACTAAACCTTTGTTTAGCTCTAGCCAATTATTTTATTTTTATTTTTCTCTTTGGATTGCGCCCCGAACTATTTGTATATGGGTGGTTGTGGTCTCTCTAAAGTATACAATCTCACTGTAATAGAACGAACGTCAATCGAGCTGTTCGTTACCAGCAATGGACGCTTATACTCGCATCATTACATTTTGTTCCTCTGATGCTCTCGTGCCTCGTGGGGGCTACAACGCACCTCAGCGGACACACCATCGAGACCATTATCAGTGCTGCTTTGGTAGTGTTGTGTTGCGAACAAGTTTGTTTTAAAGCACTAGCCCGCCTACCTTACGACCTCTTGACTAGTTGGTCTCTTCCACGGGACAGCATTTGCCTACTCTCTTGTGCTTCTCACCTAGGCACTTTGGACATTCCCACGTATAATGATGGTCCTTCCCCTGGAATGACCGAGCGATGTGTTGATTTCTAGCGTGTTTCAATCCTACTGATGCCTGTGCATGTTACAACGTCACACAGTTCAGGTACTTCAAACATTATCGTGAGATGCGTATGCATCAGAACTGTTCGTCAATGCCTCCAGTCAGTGGTATTGTCCTACGCTAGAAGCATCTTACGCACCTCCACTTGCCCAGTCTGGCAGATGCACTGATGAGTTGTTCCCCTATCCTCAAATGCAGTTAGATCCACTCTATCACGTTATAATACACTACCTCCCTTCCGCTGATTCATGGCTACCCATCTTGTTATATGCAGTTGGTTCAGCGTTGCAATTGCAGTCATCGGTCCGGATCGACTGTTGGAGGAACCTAGGTCGAAGGCAATGATAGAGTCAGGCTACTGCAGAGTGGATTTGCTCTACAAGCGACGCCAATTCTCTGAGAATATACAGCAGAGCAACTAAGCAGTATGTCAGAGGATGAAGCGAGGACAATGGAAGAGATACGAGCCAGGCGACGTGTTCTCAAGCCTCTTTCAACTCGGCTGACTTGACGCTGATATCCAACTTGGGTCTCTTGATTGTAAGGGGCAGTAAGCAGTAGGAGAATTTTGGCCCGCGCTCTACTCTTCGTTCCCCCTCCACAATACTGTTGTCCACCACCCTCCACATCAAATCTAGATAGAACAACTTTGATATATCTCCAAAGCCACGATTCGAACGAGAAATCGCAATTGCGAGAACCTGCCCGGACACATCAACCGCACGAAACAGTACTCTATTCATAGACTAGGTTTGGCCAGAGGTAAGACGAGTCTTACCGTCTTACCTGAACCCCTTCCCACAGATGTATAGGTGTTGTCTTGTTGCTTTTCCGTATGCTCATATTCATTCCCACCAAAGGCAGTGTACCAGGCACATCGCACGACTAATCTATTTCCTGTGTACTTCTGTAAATGCGTGTCCCCTGAGGTCCAAGCTTAGGTATAGTCACGCGTAGCGTGAACAACGTACCCTGGCTACAGATTGGGAATGGAAGTGGTTGACGTGTCTATCTATATCTGGTCCATTCCCTCGATGTTCCGCATATGACTATGACTGGGGAAAATGCAGCCATGTACGCCCACGCACTCTGATGCACGGAATGAGTGAAGATCCCCTCCACTGACAGATGGACACGGACACTCGCGGGTAACGATGATAACCCACCCTGACAAGGTGGTATATGGCGGGGCCCACGAAGATCAGTTTTGAGAAAAGCCGAGAAAACGGGGTTTTGTGATGACGACCCGAATGGGGCTATATTCGTGACGGCTTTCCATGGACACAAAGTACCAAGAACGCAGTCGGTCGAAGTAGGTACGTGGGCCACGATCACGGGACCTAGAGTTTCTAGGATGGACAGCAGATGCCGTATCATCGCCCGAATAGAGTAGCATGAATGGAGAGATGGGGGAGCAAAACAAAGACGCATATCTTACTGTACCCTTTTATGCTTGTTGGTTCTCCTTGCTTGTACGAACGAAGACATACATGCCGAGTTGGACCAGGCCGGGACAGACGTGACCTGATCTGAGCTTGGCTAGTCAGCGTCAGGCTGGAGCTAGGGCTGGGGTTTTGGGTCTGGGTCTGGATCTGGGTCTACGAAGTTGCGGCCTAAGGTGGGCGTCACGCTTCATCAAAGAGAACATCTCCGTGGCACAATGGCATCATAGTGACGTTGCAATTCGGCCTTGGATTCTTTTGGGGAATCTTGGGGAACTTGGAGACTGCCTAATTAAGCAGTTTTGGAAAAGGCAGGCAGGCAGGCGAAACGGAGACGCGAATCTGGCAAGATGGGTCGGGCCAGGAAATTGGGTTACCAGGATTGCGGGAAATCCGGGTATGGGAGGTAACAGTCTATGCGTATGTTATATGCGCAGATCGAAACACGTGAGATGCCTGCAGGCGGATGGGGGGGCGGGATGAAGAGAAAGGCAGATAAAATGAGACAAAAGTCGGAAACGGATGTTGATATGCCCTCGAGGTACACAACCAGCTATCACGCACATATCTTACATATCTACATTCCATATACATGACAACATGCACAGGCTAGCTTTGCAGACTAGTAGGTAGGAGGTTTATTGGTGCTATAGTATATGTATCTAAGTGAGTCGAGTCAACTAACTTGGATGGGGTGGCAATGAGTGGTGATCGGCTAAAGTGCCGTACGTACTAACGTGTTTTCCTACTAGTTTCGCGGTATATAGGTCGTGATAATGGGCCGCAAGCGCGAGCAAGGGGAGTGTAATGTGAGTTTTAAGGTCTTACAGCTTAGCTTGCCGACTTAGTTACGAACATATATAAGACCAGACTAGTGTACTACCTACGCTCCGCTCATGTTACACATGCAGGCATCCGGGTCGGGTAGACACACGACGAAGGGGGTGAGGGGCGGCCGCGGGATGGAGTGAAGGAAGGGAGGGCGGTCAGAGCGGGTGTACGAGGCTGAGACGTGATTCGTAGATGGATAGGCAGTTGTAGCCAGGTACGCCTATTAGGCGGTGCTGTGGGTATATAGACAGTTGTGTGATAGCAACAGAACATATCTAGATAGCCTACTAGGAAAAGGCGAGGCGAGAGAAGGTGAGTGGACTACGCTAGACAATGCACAGAGTCCTACATGTATTTTGCACCGTTCCCTCTCTCTGTCTCTCTTTTTACGTACAAAGGGCCATGTGAACTCACCTAGGTGTGTGTGAAAACAAAAACACGCGAATGGCGCTTATCTATTCGTGCATATACGAATGCAGCCTGTAAGAAAGACTCCGAGCCATGTGAGGATAACAATGGAGACGACGATGATGATGATGATGGAGATAGGGACGCCGTATGTATGTATATATGTAGGTATATATGTAGGCTTGTATGCAAGTCAGTACGTATGTCGGTCTAGTTATCACCAACACATAGATCGACCATGTCAAATGTACACGAATATACATGAGTATACGATTCAATACATAGGCCAACATCTCGCAACCCAGGCATATATACAAGCCACAATATATCTGTCATAGCATCCCTCGTTACTCCTCAACAACAAAAGAACCGCACGTCGCGGTCATTTCTCCGTGGTTGTCTTGAATGCTTGTTGGTTATGTGCGTAAGATCGAGCCCGGCTTACATCCATCCACTTATATACCCGCGATCCTCACGGCCCCAGGCAAGGCAAGGCAGTGAGTGGATGGGACGGATGGGAACACGGAAACGAAAGCGCCGTCCTGCCTAACGACCTAGCACTTGCCGTTGTTGAAGAAACACTCCGCGATAACGGTAGTAGAGCCCATAGGCTACTAGTAATCTAGGCGGGAAAGATAAAAAAAAAGGTGACGGAGGGGAAAGGAAAAAGAGAAGAAAGCTCGAAAGCCTTGCTTCAACCCGAATATTCCGTGGACTGTTAGCTGCACGGGTCTCTTTGCTATGCGTTGGGCTGCGCTGGGCGCCGCGGGAAAAAGAGGCCTTGGGGCCGGGTATGACCAACCTAAACCTAGAGAGTCCAGGCGTGAAATTCAGTTGCCGAAGGGGAAGCATCGATGAGCTTTTGCTCGTTTTATTGTTGTTTGGGGACTTTTGTTTTCTTTCCGGCCCTACCTACCTACCTGCTTAGTATAGATGGAAACACTATAGCAAGTGTGATGTAGAGTTAGCCCTCCTTTCCTCCCTCCCTTGCTCCAAAGCCAGGCAGTCATGTTCCTCAGGGCAGGCGATTGTAATCCATGTAAGGATATTCCACTCGGGTCGACCCGTGTGCGAAGGGCTAGTAGCCATGCAATCTCATAACGAGGCGGGACCAGCAAAAAGACGTAGTTTGCCCTGTTTTGGCCCCCAAGTAGTATGGTCTATGACAGATTCAGGAACAAGACCCCTCGACAGAGAGCTATTTGGAAATCTGGAAGAGGAAGTTGGTCAGGATTGAGAAATGATGTGCGCGGTTGAGTAGGGTTATGGATTAGTTCGTTAGATCAGGCTGACTGGTGGGCAAAATGGACCAAAAAGAGGGGTGGGCATCAGGAAATTCTAGGCGGTAGATAGGTCAGGTCTTGGAACACAAATGTGGCACAGCTGCATAGATACTAGGAAGGACTCGGGAGAGACTAAGGCGGCAAAGACTAGGTCAAGGATTACTTTATTCACCGATATGAACCACCACCCTATGCAATTCAATGATGTGTTGTAAGTGTACAGGATGACAAAGGAAAGTGAGATGATAGATAAAAATAAAATCGGTCTATGGGAGCGCTCGAAAGGTGGATGAATTGTACAAGGCGGAAAGTCGTCATGTTTTCTCAATCCTGGAAACCCCCTCGTAGGAGAGTTCCCCCCTGTCACTCACTCTCGCTCGGAAACCGATGAGAGGTCGGTAAAACCCTGACCACACATCTATGAAGCATGGTAGAGGCGGAGTGGCTATCAGCCCTAGTGTCGGCTCTCATGGCGTGATGCATCTATAAGCCCTTGGTGTGCACAACGATCCCATTCCCTGGCGGAGGGATGCAATTCTTTTTGCGGTCTAGTGTAATTCCCATCCCATTCACATACAATGCCAAGCGGTATCTAGGGCTCGATCCTTTAGACATATTCGTGACTTTAGTGATGAGCGGCGGCAGTTTCGCCACGGTAGCCGATGATCTTGAAGCGTCCAATCATTTCGCCAACGGTGAAGAAACCCAAGCACTCAGCGGCAACGACGCCGACAGCAATTAACTGTGCACGGCTCACGTTCTGAACCCGTGACAGGATAGAAGCGGGCTGCTCAGCAGTCTTGCTGGCGGTTTGAGATAGGTTCTGCAGGAGAGAGCTGGGGTTCTTCCATACGTTCTGGAAGTATGTTTGGAAGTATGTCTGGAAGGTTTCAACTGATCTAAAAAAAAATACGTGTCAATAGAAGCGGACGTCAAGTGTGTGCCTGTCCCATCCCTGATTTCATATCACTTACGGAGGAGACATCTTTTGTCCACGGAAGACGATCTTGGCGACCTCAGCGCCGACCTTTGAGTAGTAGATGACGGTAGGGACTTGCTCTGTTTTCATGGTCAGTTATTTTCTTCTAAGTCACAATCGGCAAGAAAAAGAGCTCGCAGATGTAATGCGATCGAGCAATAGCAGTTACGTCACAGAAAGAAAGCGTCCAATACGTTGTCACATACTCTCAACGAAACCAACCACCTTTGCAGTGCGACCACCAACTTTGCTCAATGACTCGGCAGCTCCCTTGGCGGCACCAGCAATAGCTGGACCGGCGGATGAGGTGACCTTAGACAAACCCTCCTGAGCCTTGGAGGCATACTCGGCGGCAGAGGCAGACATTTTGGCAGCAGCCTCCTGGGCCTTGGAAGCGGCTTCGGCTGTTGTGGAAGAGGCCTTTTGAGAGGCATTGGAGGCGGCCTCAGCGGTAGAAGAAGATGCCTTGGAAGCAGCCTCGGCGGTGGAAGAAGAAGCCTTGGAGGCAGCTTCGGCTGCGGAAGACGAGGCCTTGGAAGTAGCCTCCTGAGCCTTAGAAGCAGCTTGCTGGGCTTTAGAAGAAGTCTCGGCGGCGGCGGAAGAAGCCTTCTGAGAGGCCTTGGAGGCGGCCTCCTTTGCTGTCTCGGCAGCCTTTGCGGAGGTGGACTCGAATCGGCGGGCGGCCATGCGGCTCCAAGCTCCGGATTGCCGAAGCAGGGGACGCGCAAAAGCAGACGACATGGTGGCTGGAGAAAAGGTGGCCTTTATAGATCCGGAGGCGTGTCCAGCAATCGATCGACCGTGCGTACGGGGGATCGAGGGGCGGCGGGAGAGAGGAAGGAAAGGAAGCCGGGGCGGGTGGGATGGTTGGAGGTCGTCGTCGTCGTCGTCGTCGTTGTCGCCAAAATGCAGTAGTCGCGATAAAAAAAAAACACTCACTCACACACACACCACCACCACCATTGGAGGTGCTGTGCACTAGCCCGGGCCCGGCTAAGCCTGTATCAGCCCGCCCCAAAAAAAATCCCATCACTGCTTAGCGGAAAAACCCGATCCGATACTTACCTAGCTAAAGGCCCGGGGCCCCTTCAATTGACCAATCAGAACTGCTGTTTGCATGTGCTGGCAGGCCGCGAGGACCTGTCTGTCCCTTTCTCCCGGCTCTCTCTCTCACTCAACTCACCTTCTATCACTCACTTCACCTTCAATCATTGCTCACTTCTCACATCCTCACTTTCATCTGCCTCATCTCTTCGCTTTGTTCACCCTGTGCTTTCTGTGAAGAACTAGCACTATTACACCTTCTGTGTTTCTAACTATGTTTTCTGATTGCCAATATGACTCGGAGTCATATCTCATGTTTATTCCTGAATAGTTTGCTTTCCTTACTCTATACACAGTTGGAGAATGAATCTATGAAATCGACATATGCAAGTAACTGACCGAAACTGTGAGCCCATGTTGTTCTATTCTATCCCCTGACAAAAAGGGATGTGACATTCATTACCCAAACCTTGCGCAATATCCTCGCCTGCGCCGTGTGCTTATATGTCTTCATATCCCCTAAACAGCCTGATCTAGAGTTCATCCTAGTCGTCACTCTGGATTTGCACTTTGATGGCCCCTGTCTTGGGATCAGCTGCCACCTTGAACGCTTCAAGGGAGTCTTCGAGCTTGAAGCGGTGAGTGACAAGTTTTGAGAGATCGATGACGCCGTTCTCGAGGAGCCGAATGGCGCGGGGCCATGTGTTGCAGTATCGATATTGAAATACTAAGTCGATCTCGCGAGTGCTGCATCGCATGAATGGGAAGTTCAGCTCGTTCTTTCCGACGCCGATGACAAAGACCTTGCCACCAAACTTCGCTGCCCAGATGGCTGAGGCTATGCTGCTTTCTACGCCTGTGCACTCCATCGTCACAGCTGGTTCAATGCCGCCGAAGGATTTGACGATGGCCTTCGCTGAGTCCTCTGCACTCATTCGTTCGACCTTGTGGGTTATGGCCGAGGGACACAGTTCCTTGGCGAATTTGAGGCGACCCTCGTCAATATCCGTGATCACGAGCGGACAGGCTCCAGCAGCTTTGCAGCAGAGGAGTGTAATCAACCCAATTGGGCCAGCGCCGCAGACTAGGACCGGATCCCCGAGTTTGATTCCGGATCTCTGCATTCCAGCCAATGCGACGCTTAGTGGCTCCAGCATGGCCCCGTTCTCGTACGACATGTCACCGATCTTGTGACACCATATAGCTGGGTGGTTGACATATCGTCGCAGCAGGCCTGGCACTGGTGGCGTAGACAGGAATTCGACCTTCTCGCAGCCGTTGTAACGCCCAGTCAAGCATGGCTCACAGGCGTTGCAGATGACGTTTGGCTCGATAGCTACCCGGTCGCCGACCTTAAGATGTGTCACGGAAGGATGCACTGCGATAATCTGCCCAGCTGATTCATGGCCCAGGATATGATCGCCCTCCACGATCATTGGGCCGATACAACCGGCATGCCAGAAATGAACATCAGATCTACAACATGTTAGCTCATTACGACGGGACGATATAGAACAGGCAGAGACCGTACCCACAGATGCCTGTACTCTTGACAGCAATAGTGACCTCGCCGGGCTTCAAACTGTCCGCATTTTGCACACTCTCCAATGTCGGCTCGGCCTCGCTAATCCATAGGTCGTGCTTGGGGTTGGTGAAGATGCCAATGTTGGGCTTGGTGGGCTGGACGATTGTGGCGGTTTCGCTCATTCTCACGGTGCCTTCGGCGATCTAGCAAGACTGGGAAAGAGTGGAAGAAAGCTGAAGAACAAATCGCAGCGAAGAGCGGGCGCTGTTGTAAGGTATGGCTGAAAAGAGGGGCAGATGCCCATTATATATCTCCACGGGCTGGTCACGATGACCTTCGGGTGGTGGAGTGCCGCTTCTCAACCGAATTCGGGCATATTTCGTCCTGTCGCGCATCCACTCAAGCTCTTAGATTCCCAATGAGGCATGTCTCACAGCCCTCGCGTTTCGTGTCGAACGGAGATATATTTATTGTCTCTTGTACATTGGCCGATCTACGCTCGCTCCAGTATTAGTCGTGATTGGAGCGAATGCGGGGTGCTTAGGGCGGGTTTGGATTTGGCGCTTTCGGCTGCCTTAGCCCCGACGTCCATATAGTCTGCGCCATCTATTTACCGCACCAATTGTTCGTGGTAGCTCCCCACGTACCCAGTCTCGCCAGTTCCGTACGGCATCGTGAGAGTGAGGACAAAAAGAAAAAGAAAAGAAGAGTGGAGAAGAGAAGAATCTACTATGTAGGTAGGAGACTAATGTAGTGAGTGGCTCAACAAATCTTGGGCGCACTTTGAGTGTAATGACATACTTACTATTGGGTATATCCTGGCCGACCAACGTGGCAAAATGACGGTTGAATTGACATGTGGTATGTTTAGTCAATTTAGGACGAAATCGGCATCCACTAGGAATCCATATAAAGAACAACTATGCATAGATGATCTTTCCTATACTGGCATTCATATTACGGTATTAAAAGCAACTTGTTCAATCCAACCTATCTCTTAGACATTCAGTCGATTACTTGTACCCCATATGGTATCACAAGATGCTGTAGCGCTCGAACAAGGTTGAATTGACGATTTCTTAAATCAGTATTACATTACCGCCCAGATGCCGCAATTCGTTGAATGCTGCAGTCTTTAGATGAATTCATATCCTATACTCTCATCAATTTCGCCTCCTAGATAGCACCATATCTTCACAACTGTCGATTACGTTGATCAACATACGCCTCACAGTCCGCGGTGAATGCTTGTAGTCGGCTTGAAGTGCTGACTGACTCATCACACATGCTGCATTCCCTCTCTTGGCATCGCTTTGCATACGCTATGTAACTTTACCATTCCGCCATATAGTCTATATAGCCTCCCTTTTAAGGCCTTGGTAAAGATTTTGGTAGTGTAGTCTTAGGCGGAGTCGTTATACTACTTAGACACGTGTGATTGATCACTTAATCTAGATGAATGTGGACGTGAAAATCGGTTCTGTTTCTGTTCATGGATAGATAAGATCGTTTTCACTTGAATCATCACTGAAGTACTGGGGACGGGGCTTCCAGGGACATAGCGACAGCAATGAAGAGGCCGATGTTTGGCTGAGATTGAATGGAGGAGCTGTCTTATTGGACGACTTGGCCTGGGAACTGTGATGACACCAATACCCCATGCAGATATATGCCGAACCCGTACCCAGGATTGCTATATTAGTTCAAATACCCCTCTTAATCAAGATGAGCATAAAAATTTGAGCGAAAGTCTAACTTGGTATGCCAGGGGTCTAGTTCATGTTTCTAAACTCGGTATATCTAGGATACCGAGAGGATGAATGTAGGTAGAATCCCCTAAGGGTCCAGCTATTAACATCGACATTTCGTTAAAATTGCCGGCGGTCTTACAATGAATGCAGAAGAACACGATCTTCAAAGTCTACTTCTGACTAGGAGGGCTCAAAATGTCGTTTATATTCTTCAATGTATGACCCTGCGAGATGATTCTGTTGCGCTAATGTGTTGGCTAACAGCCGAGCAGTAGTCTCTTTTCTGCTATATGGTTATTGATCCCAATACATTTCCGCCATGTCTATCTAACCTCTTGGTCTATCGTTTCCCGCAGAGCATCCAAAAACATTCAAAAAGTTTCATATCTGGAAGGCTGCATAACCAAATCCTGCATTTCGATCTTGCGTCGACTTCCATAAAACAGTTTTTAGTCCGCTAACTTAGTATACCGCGCTATTCAAACATCCATATTTGAAACTCAAATTACAAAATATCATAAGCCTCAGGCGATAATTTGTTTGTCAGATGACCGCCGAGGCACAGACCGTACACTATTGTCGACAAGCCTACTACCACCGCTAATAGCCTTCTTATCTGAAAACTCGAGCCCGCGGTGAATGATGGCTAGGTCATGTCGCTTAGCGACGACCACATCGCCTGATGGCCGCACTTCCATCATGATGCCATGCAAGCTCATCCATTCATCAGGGATGAAGAAGTGTCGGGCAATTCTGGTTTGAATTGGGGACGATCTAGCGGCTGTAGTGGCCGTACTTGGTGTCAACTCTGAAGGGGTGATGTCGATTGAACAGACCCAGTGGTCCGGGTCTATGAATACTATACGGCCGTTGTAGAACCCGATAATCCCCTCGGCGATGGTTTTGAGTCGCTCCAAGTTCAACACTGGGTTTATTTGGTCCTCATCTTCTTCTTTTGCTTCAGGTTCTGCTGCTGCAGTTGGTGTGCTCAACGGTAATACGGCTTTGTATGGAAGGTCACGACTGTCCCTCAACCCAAAAAAGCCAGATCTTAACCATTTCACCTTAGCGAAGTGTCGTCGGCGCCAGACACATATAACAGACCCGAAGCTCACGGGCCAATCTTCGTGAAGCTTTAGTCCCACCGAACGGATTTGAGTCAGACTTTTCCATTCGTAAAAGGTTACAATCCCATCGTCGATACGGACCAGAAAGTCTTCGTTTGTAGCTGATGAGAACCACGTTGATGTGTACTGGCTTTCCACACGGGCGAGGTAATTGGTAGCATTAGGGGTTGCTATATTCCATAGGGTAGCCTTGTCATAGTCGCGTATGAGAAGACGCTCATGCTTAGCAGAGACAACTATCTGCAAAACACCGAGGTGGACCGTCTTGTTGAATTCATAAAGAGTTTCGCTTGCGACCCATTTCCCTTGCGCTTCTAGGATCAACTTCCTGCTTGTTACTCTACCGCCGGAAATGTCCGTAAGGAGGCAACTGTCATCGTCAAAGTGCAGAGATGTAATTCTCCTCGTCAGCCTATGGGTAAACAGCTCCTGGCTACGGGGTTCGGAAGAGATGTTGTAGATATGCACTGTTTGGTCCTCTTTCGCGTATATCACTTGTGGCGCGTCTTTCATATACGCTATTGCTGTGATGGGAATGACGTCTTCCCTTTCAGGCCCTCTATGTTCAACTACCACAGAGTGTGAGACTGTAGCGTTTGGTTCGCTCTCAAGGTCGCGTCGAAGGGGAACTGTTGGCTCCCATACTTCAATTTGACCGCTGCCTGAGGTGAGAAGACGCAACCCGTCTGGAGTAAAAGCTATAATTCGCGGTAAAGGTTTACTGTTGCCGTACTGTAATCGATGGATAAGTTCCAGGGTTACGAGATCAAATATATCAACGCACCCCGGAGCTGCAATGGCTAATGTGCGGCCGTCCGGAGAACAGGCTATCTCGTGGGCCTTGATTTGATCTAGGGAACCCCGAAGTTCGCCAGAGTCGGTGTCGAAAACAACAACAGTGCCTTTTGCATATGCTACCACTAGGAGATTGTTTTCAAGCGTCGAGCCAAAAGCCACCGTGCTAACAGCCGGTTTAATATATAGATCGCCGTTTAATTCGTGTTGATATGGCCCACTGTCATTTTCCAACATGTGCATCTGCTCGCCGTCGATAGTTCGAAGAATGATATCCCCTTCCTGATATATTATCGCCAGGAGATTATGTTCGGCCCTGAAAGCTACCATTGTTGGTATTCGACCGCTATGCCAGGGACTGCCCTCCTCAACGAGCACCTTTATCCAAACGATAGGTTCGCCATAAGCTACGTTTTTTGTAATGTCCCAATACATTATCGAGAGGTTCTCATAAGCGATTAGAAGGGTTTCATCATCTTCTATGAAGGCAATTAAAATGCACCTGGCTGGAACTTGGAAGGATGTTATCAGTTCCGAAGAGTTGAGGTCCCATAATCTTACACTTTCTTCTCCTCCTGTAGCGAAGAGCTTCCCATTCTGACTAAATGCAACCTTCCGAATCCCTTCCTCGTGTATGAAAGTATTGGTCTTCAGAAAAGTTGCCCTATCGTATATCAATACGGTACTAGACGCAACTATTAGTACTTGCAACTCTATATGAGGAAAAAGAAAGTAGTTATATAGAGAACAGTTTGTTTTAAAGGCTTACCTGTATGCCAGTAATATGGCTGTCCTTGTTGCTGATGACACCACGTTCTGCACGTACGAGAATTCAGGGTCATAGATGGTACAGACGCAATCGTCCCAGTCCTTCGAAACATAGCCCTGTAGACTAAGCCCATGGTACGGAGTGGCGCATTGTCTTCGAAGAATGGACTCGGATGGACAGAATGGAGGAATTAAATAGTGTATACACGATGGAGACTGATTCAATTTATTGCCGAATTTTTTCACCAACATGGCTAAATCAGTGCCCCATCGTTCAATCAATGATATCTGTTTGTTGTCTCCCGTTGGTGTTTGCTTTTTTTGACGTGTAACTAGACTCGTACATATCTTACCAGCCTGATAAACTCGTTGCAGATCAGCCTGGTTAGCCATATACTCAATCCAAAATAGAACCCTACGCGAACCGAGGAAACTCGCCAGACCAGCTAATACTTCATCATCTACGCAGTCGAGCCGCAGGAGATGTTGGAAGAGATATGTAGCGGCGTAATAGTACAGCACTGAGTCGGCGTCGCCGGCAGCATCACTTGCCAAAAGTCGAGCTCCAGATCCTTTTTTCAAGTTTTCTTGCCCTCCGCATAAGGTCCGGATGCACACGAGTGCCAGTCGCTTGTGTGCGGCCGATTCATCAACAATGAACTCAGAATCGATGGTTTTCTGAGTCAAAAACTCTCTTGCAGTCAAGTGAACGAGTTGTACCTTTTGGGCCGCGTCAACGAAGACTAGGTTGCTGCAGATGCCGATAGATCTCTCAACGTCGTCGACCAACTGAAATTCCGCATTGAGTGCCAGTCTAATCTCGTTAACAGTTAACGGGCGGAATGCGCAGGTCACCCATGTGAGGATAGCTTTTGCTAGATCCTTGCCGAATTTGGCGCGGGACATCTCATCAAGCATCCTAATATAGAGCGTGTTCATATCAGAATTATCATTGCCCAAGACTTGGTCGATCTCAGTAGCTGTGTGAACTTGACGGAGTTCGCTGAGCACGAGCCTGACCCATAGAAAGCAGCCCCTAGCGTTATGGAGAATACGATCTGAGATATCTTGCCGTGCCGCCGCTGGAAGATACTGGAGGTTTCCATCCACAAAGGATGCGATATCTCCTTTGTTGTCGTCCAATATAGTTTCCGAGATAATCTCCATTGGCCGCTCTGTTATGCTCAGGCATGTTTCGACGCCAGTCCTTGATGTGATAAGAATGCAGAGCGGCCATACCTCTTGGGCCTTCCTGAGAAAGTACATCAATTCCGAGCTATTCCTACACTCGTCCATAGCGTCAATGATCCAGTACTGGGGCCTTTTAAGCTCGGTCCTCAGGAGCGCAGAGGTGAAGACCTGGCGCCACATTGAGACGTGATCAACCTTGTCAACCGGCGACACTGTCCACGAGTTGGTAATGTTGAGAATCGCGGTGAAGACCGCGCGGTGTATGGCAGCCATCTGGCATGCCATTGAGCGTAGTAAAGCACTGATGGTTTCCTTGCCTTCATCGCCGTAAGTAAAATAAAAGTAGCAGCAGTCGAGGCCTGATGCATGTAAGTGATTGACGACATGCGATGCGAGCATAGTTTTCCCAGTACCAGGTCGTCCTTGGAGCCAGAAGAGCTTTGATGTTAATTCATCCCGCCACCGCTGGAAGGAATCCTTTTGGATTAACCACTGACATGAACCAGGTAGCTTCCGTGATTCATTGGCTATGAGGCTATCTTCAGGGGCACCAGAAACGCCGAGAAACCGGCAGAGAGCTTCTAGTTCGGTATGATCAAGCCCTCTCTTCTCCGTCTTCAATGACGCTCTTTGATCTTCAACAGTGGTCGCTAATGCGTTCCGCACTAATACATACGATGAGTCCTTCGGCGTAGTGAATCGTGCCACGTCACGATGATTGGCATCTAAGTAAGTGCGTCTTTCATTCGCATAGTTCATAACCGCACAGTGTCTTTCTACAATGAGACCCGTCTTTATCCCATAGAACATTGGTTGAGACTCAAAAAAGGAAAACAGCTGTAACGCGTCAGAGTAGCGAGGAAATTCTTCGTTGATAGTCTGCAACATCTCCGACTGGGGGATCAGGTCGTCGACGAAAGGTCGTGGTCCTGCAAAATCTAGAAAGCGATTCAATAGCTGAGCGATGCCAGCTCCTTGATGAGGCGTAGCTAGGAAGAACATGGCATGCACCCTACTAGCTAGTTTGTCGTACTCTGGCAACTGATGCGCAAGGATGTATGCCTTCTTGATCACCAAACCCCCCATGCTATGACCTACAAATATGATTCGGCCCTGTAACATATGAGGATATGATTCGTGCGAGAAAGAGCTTACATGCCACTCACTGAGGGGTTCGACGCCATAGCAGGGCAATGGTAAGCGCAAGCTAGAAGGTTAGTCGCAAAGTCGCGGATGTTCAAGATGGATTCGCGGTTAAGCCCCGACGAATATCCAAATGTATGTATGCGAACATCTTGGAAGGCATCGTCGCAAGAGAGCCAGTCTTGTGGCCAATACGAGCCATGGCTAGTCCTCGACCATGTACTTCGAGAACCGCCGTTGAGGCCATGCACAAAGATGATATCAGCAACAACTTGCCCATCTGGCTCAAATAAGGTCGTGAGGCCTAACGGCCCTTTTGGTGGTTCTCGTTGGTTTTTCTTAGTAACATTATCGTCTTTTCTACTCAGGTATCTCCCTAGGAAAGACTTGTTGGAATGCACTGTCTGTCTTGTCGAGGCTCGTGACCCAGAATCTAAAGAGGCGGCTATCTTTTCGCGGATTTTGAGTTTTGTGATAGAACGCCTAGCCTGCTGTTCGCTCTTGTCTGACTCCATAATTAGGTCGTGGTATAACTGACTTACGAACGAAGAGTGCCATCAACTGAATACCACACATAAGGATGCCGTCAGCATGACAGACAGAGGGAAAAGGCTCGAGAAAGATTGCCTTGCAAATTACTCCATCCCAGACCAGAGATAGAGGCTTGCTGCCGGTGATGGTAAGCCATGCTCTCTTCTCTATAGAGTTCAGGATGGGTTGGAATGGCCCATTCTTGCGCAGTTGAATCACAAGAAGACAGGCGGCAGTTCAAGAATGCCCCAATCATATTAAGCACTCAGATACAGGCAACCGACAGCGCCCTGTCTGCCTGATAGTGTAGGTCTTAGGTGAACAACCACGTACGGGAGTGGGCATGAATTGGTGGACCAGGGGCTTAAGCCATAAGCATGTTGGTTATCCTGCAGATTTCTGGTACATAACCCCTCCCACTGAAGGAATACACTATAGGCACTACTACGTTATGGTAGCACTCCAAACGGTCTTCTGAGCCCAGTGTTGGAATTCGTCCATACAGACAAGACTGCTTGACGAATGGCTTTGGTTTATACTAACACGATTCGTTGAAATTTATATGAGGATAGCGCCTGCCGAGATCATTTGGCTCTTGCTCTTACATTTACTTTCTTTTACTATTTATTGTCTTTGAATCTGTGACTGGAAATTATCCCGGAAAGGTGGCGCTCTCTGGGCGGCTATTGTAACTAAGCTCATCTAAGCCAAGTAAGTGTTGGGTGTCAAGTTGCTGTTTTAAGCTTAACTACGAAACCCCAATTTCTTATCTGTACAACAACGGACTGCTAATTATTCATACTTTGACTTTGTTTGATAATGAATAACTCATTATTACGACCATAATTGGCTCTCTGCTTACTGGTTAATAAAGCGTAGGTATTGTTGCTGAGTTATGATCACTTCCGATAGGAAGTCAAAGACCTCGGATCAGACCAAGTTCATATCATTTGAGGACTAATAATTGTACCCTACAATCCAATGCTAGTTATCGTAAGACTGTTGTCCAACACACTACTCTAGAGATATTTGCATTCCAGGCGAGAGCCAAGCACAAACAAACTATATAGAGGTCACATACATATGAAGAACATATTAGCACCAACAATCCCTATCCGCCTAAGCCATGAAAACCAACTCTGAGAGTATATCCGAGAATGCTTTGAAATCTACTACGTCCACGACAAGCTCCAATAGACAGTTAACTCCTCCTATATAGAACACTAATCATGAACGCAATATCCTTCTCTAACCTAGATTCAAGATATCCAATGCAGTGTCTGAATTTAAATATCACACTGACTAACTTGAACTTGACCACACAACACGCTTCAAATGCGACCTCACATTAGTCATCTCGCAGGTAAATACCATACGCAAACAGCTATATAATTTGAGTTAACATAGCTTACCAAAGGACAACTAATCGCTGCATTCCGCTTTTAAAGCATAAGTCTATGTACCGATATCGCGCTCTAAAAAAGTACTACCAGTCCATTACAAGACGAATAAACCCACAGAAGTTTCATATACCTAAGGTATTTATACAAGTTCGACGCAACGACTACAACCGTCGACTATGGTATATCGCTCACATGGACGGCCTCCAGCCCTGCCACCGCCATCTCTCAGGGGCGAAAACAATCTCGAAGCCGACCTGATCGAAGACTCCCACAGAGGCGCACAGGTCGTGGAAGCCTTCCAAACCCGTGATAGGCATATCGGCAATGCGATCAGACTCCTCGTACAAATCCCACCGTCCGACCTCGACGCCGTCGCGCGTGAGGAAGATCTCGACGAGAATCCGACCAACCGGCGCGGGGGTGGAGTTATCATATGAGTTTTCGAACACAGGGGTAAAGGTCATGCCCAATCCCAACGTGTCGTCGCGTTTGAACGGTTGCGTGAAGGTCTTTCCACCCCATTTGTCGTTGATGTACTTGTGTCCGTCGTCGCCGTGCACGGCCAGACTGCCGCGGTGCCAACCGGGAAGCCGGAAGGGTGGGTACGGTGGCGCTGTGAATCCCAGGGCCAACGAGACCTCTTCCATCCTGGTTTGGCGTGAAATGTGCGTCTCAAGGATGCGCACCTCGTAGTAGATGGTCTTGCGTTGGCGTGTGGCGAAGGGACTGTGTTGGGTCACGCTGTACAGCGGTGGGTACGTGGCCAGGCAGGTATCGGGGGCATCAGATGGCGACCTCCCGCGCCAGACACCGACGCTCTCTCGGTGAAGTTTACCCTGATAGAATGGGGGCGCGAACATGTTGATGTTGCCCGTGCTCATGGCGGCTACCTCGGGCGGCGCGAAGCGACGCGGATTATCTAGTGGGAATTGCTCGCACCATTCATCCCCCATATCAGCCTCCTTTTCCGTTGCATTATTGGCGGGCGATCGGTCAAAACCGCTGAAGAAGTTGGGCGGTGGCGGGAGCAGCGACGTGTCTGGGACTGCGGTTTCCCAGTCGTGCTTCTTTATATCTTTTTCTTTCTCTTGCGGAGGTGGAGGGCCGGGTGGGGGAGCGTAGTCCTGTGATGGTGGTGGTCCTGGCGGAGGAGCATAATCAGACGACTCCGGGCCTCCATAGGCGTTAATATGGGAGGGAGGGGGACCGGGTGGGGGCGCGGCGTCTTCATAGAAGGGGTTGTTCTTAGATGGTAGAGGCCCCGCGGGCGGTGCATAGTCGTGAGAAGGAGGCGGGCCGGAAGGAGGTGCGTATTCCTCGACAGCCCTTCGTGAAGGCGGCGGTCCCTGAGGTGGAGCGAAGTCTTGAGGTTGGGGAGGAGGACCAGGGGGCGGTGCGTAATTGGTCTCTTGGGCTTGTTTCTGGGTTCGGTGTGATGGCGGCGGACCAGAGGGTGGAACGAAGTCGTTTGGTATGCTTGCTTTCGAGGTATTTGGTATACTGGCGGATTGACGCTGCTGTTGCTGCTGTGGTAGCTGTACGGGCCGTGGGGGCGGATCGTCAGAACGATCTGAACTTGTAAAACACATGATTACCTTTGGTGATCAGTTAATCTTGGTCTCGGCGTAATGGCTGCGTGGGTAGCCAGAAGCTCTCCAAGTCGAGTCAGGAGTGATGATTGACGTCTTAGAGAGAATCGTGTCGCGGGAGCGGTTTATAGATGACTCTAGACAGAAAGTAAGAAGCTACCTAGGTACTGCTTAGCACCGTACCTAAGAGCACCCAGGACTTTCAGGTATTAGATGACGACGTTTTCGTGGCAGTGAAGCTAAGGAGGATTTGGAATGGGAGGCCGCCCAGAGTTTGGTGTAATTGCCCAGGAGATTGATTACTATCTGTCAAGTTTCCGGTCAGATTCTCTTTCCTCTCTTACCTTCGATCGTTACTCTTAAAACCCTTGGTGTCATTATTGATAAGACAGCTAAGACTCATACCTCTACAAGTATGATACTACGTGGCGTGAGCCTTTTGCTGTTGCATCTACAGTAAAACGATCTGATGGATGCATTGAATCCACGTGGGTGTTTCAAGTAGGTAGATAAGTGATTCACCCAGTCCAGTTCTACATATGTATGTAGGATTTATTCCATTATCCGGTAGGCTTACTAGGTAGCTGAACAAGGTGCCTGCTCAGGTGCTTGGCCTCATCACTATTGCCCCGCCTAGTAAGTACTGTAGATACTAGCGATTTTTAGCTGGTTTACTTGAATCGCAGTTGCTCCCGAAGCTGTGCTGGTAATGAGAATATAGAGTGGTATATGCCGTGCTTATACGACTCGTTTTCGAGTGAGAAGTATATACATCACTTAAGGCATTTTAGTCCTTGCTCACTTTACGTTCCTGAATCGTTCTTTCCATTCGAGTTAATTAAAATTTCACAATCGACATACTATGTACATCTCCGAAAAGAAGGAGCAACTCCATTAAACTAGGGGGACGGTTGCAGTTACTTTAGAAATACACCGTATGCATAATCATAAATACACGGTCTCTCGCACTGAGTAAATTCTACAACGCTAGTGCTCCGAACCAATCATGCGGTGTTCTTTCAGGATTAAACTCCACGCTAAAGGAGTTCGCCCATGATGCCGCCCGCTTGGCACCACTACCTAAGCGAGCTACAAGTTAACCTTCGTACTTGTTGTGAACAAACATATCAAGTTGCAGCAGATATTAGATCACCATAGGTATTTGCTAATAATCTATATGTATCACCATCTCAGAATGTTTAATATCCAAAATTCATGTATAATAGGGCTGAATGAGCGCATATTTGATTCATACATCCGTGACAAATATTTCCATGTACGAGCTATCTACCTATCTATGTATGCGTATATTGTATGCCAGGGCTCAAGTTGGTTGAGTTGAACCTGAACGAACTCATCCCTCTCATACTCTGATGCCCCTCTGCCCCGATTCCCGTGATTTGTTCATCCACTGCCACTCGTAGCTAAATCAGCCTCACCAATTGATCAACTGGCTGCTTCGCCTTTGCTCCCATTGTCCGAATCTGTTAGCGTTCGAAATCATCGGGGAGCTAGCCCAGAACGGTGCAACGAGGTTAACCGGAGGTATCCTAAGCACTCCATTCGTTTGCCTCGCTGCCCTCTGGATAGAAAAAGGCTATGATGCCGATAATGACATATGTAGCTACGAGTAACGCTCCTTCTAGGTAGTTGCTACGGCCGTCGAGGATCAGGAAGTTGATGATAAAGGCTGAAACAAACAGGGATACAGTCTCGAACAAGGTGAAGTAGAGCGTCATCGGCTGGTTGATGATCCACCCAATGATGACCACTAATGGCGTGATGAAGAGCGCAATTTGAATAGAGCTACCAATGGCTACACCGATAGCAAGGTCCATTTTGTTTTTCATCGCTACCGTGATGGCCGTCACGTGCTCAGCCGCATTACCGACGATGGGAAGAATGATAAGACCAATGAAGATTTCCTTGATCGAGCTGCTTTCCACTACGTCTTGAATCGAGTCAACTAGGAACTCGGCACACGTGGCGACGAGCGCCGTGGTGATCAAAAGCATGACGACGGCTGCCGGCTGTGAAATATCATCTTCATGCTCTTCGCCCGTGTTGGCTGGAGGGGTCGCTGCGACCGATGGAGGAACCTGGGATGGGAAGAGCGCTCCAGGAGGCCGCGAAGCGTGGTGTTGATTGAGCTTGTCCGGGAGCGAATTGGTCCGCCGAATACCATACTTGACGCGAGGCACCGGCCCAAGAGGAATCACAGGCACAGCAGCTGGTCCGGCTTGTGCCGACTGAGTGAAGACTGGCGGCGCGAGGTTTTTCACCGGTCGGAACGATAGCCCACGGAGGTTATTAAATGGTCGCTTGACACCGGCTGGAGAAGAATCAACCGCACCATCCAGGGGTATCACATTATCCGCGAAATCGACACGTCGGGTTTCTCCATCGGCCACTTCGCCCTGTACAGTTCCAGGAATGAGGCCGACGATATTGGCCTCGGCAGGTGAGAGCGCGCCTTCGGATCCTAATGGAGTTGAAGCCTTGTGGTGATGTCGATGCTTGCGTTTAGACCGTTTGTGGCGATGTTTGCGGAAGACTTTCCTGGGCTTCTCTTCATCTACGGCGTCGTCACTTTCCGTTGCGTTGGCAGGAAAAAAGCTGGCACCATTGGCAGATTCCCCAGACTTGGATCCTTCTGCAAGTGGGCTTGTGTTGACTGAAGAAGTACGAGTGCGAATTCTCTCATCATCAGTGTCAATTGACGCAAGGCTTGACTTTCTTCGGCGACGGCGAATAGCTCGCTTTACGCGCCGTGACATGGTATTCCTGGAATGAGCCGAAGAGTCCGAGTCCGAATCAGATGAAGAGCTGGAGTCAGAACTTGAACTCTCCAACCAAGCAGCTGCAGGGCCAGGCGTCGATTCCTCGTCAATGATATGCTGAGGTGTGGATTCATACATGTACGCGTGTGACTTCAGTTGAAACAAGAGGTAGACCACATAGATCAGTAGGAGAATCTGGCCATGTTAGCAAATCTCGCTCGACGTTAAACGGGGTAAAATACATACAACACTGGTACCGCGGCTGATTTTCAAAGACTGTTCATCAGCCAATGCCGTATCTCTAAACGAGGCATGAAATGCTGTCTGCGAATATCAGTTAGAAAACAGATCACTGCTTCCGTTCCGTCAACACCTACCGGCAAAACCAGACTGATGACACTCAAACTGAGTAAACAGGCACTCATCTGCGTCACAGTGCTATTGTACACCTAAAAGAGGTCAGTTATATGTAATTTTGATCAATCCAAGGAGTAACAAACCTGTTCACGAAAACGTAGACCACCCAGGAAGAAGGCTCCACCCAAAATGAGGAGCAGATTCGCGAGAATGGATCCCAGAAGTGACGCTTGTACAACACGAATTTCACCCTTAACCAGTGCAATGCTATAATGTGCATCATCAAGTTAGTATGTATAACATATCATTGACACAACCTTTCTAAGCAATTCCAGGGACAGAACGCTATGCATATAAGGGATATGCAGGAAGGGTAAAATCTATCAAACGTACATGCTGTCAGAAAGTTAGTACAACCATGTTGCGGGATTGGCCGAGTTTAAAACCATGACAAGGAAGCTTACAAGATAATCAACTCTACGGCGTTACCAAATGTCACGTTCAGTAGTGCACCGATGGTGTCACCCAACTTACGAGCTACGGATTCGGTAGCATAGCTGAGTAATGCAGCGAGAGGGATGATAGCCACGGCATTGATTCCGAAAGTTGCTCCCGGGTTGGAGTTCGGGATGTTGGCGACGATGATACCGACGGGCACGAAGACTAGGCCAACATTGATCCAGCTATGAAAGAGGATCTTCTTGGTGGTCAAAAAGAATCGGACCACGACATTCGGTTTCTTTTTCTCAGACTCCCCAGGGCTTACGACAGTCCGCGACTCTTCAGCTTTAGATGCCGGCGAAGTTGACTTATCGGCTGCGTCGCTATCCGATCTGACGTTCGTAGTGCCATCTGCAATGTGGTCGACGGGGCTTTGATCGCCATTGACGCCGAGGGAAGCGCCATGTTGATTGTTGGCGGGTGGTTGTCCCTGTTGTGGTGTGTTTCGAGCCGGATTACTCAAGGGAAGCGTAGGGTTACTACTGGAAGCAGTGGACCGTTTCGAGCCTCCATACGCATGAGTTCGTGCCCAAGAGCGTATGCGATCTGTATAAGGCGTCTGATCAGAAGAGGTTTCCTTCATCGAATTATGGTATTTTGGCAACGGTGACGCCAATGTCTCGGGTGTTCTGAAGCGAGAACAAGATGGAGAGAAAGAGAAAGAAGGGGGGCGAGATGTGGCGAATGCTAAATAGGCACACGAGGCAAGGGATCAAGGGAGAAGCTAAGGAAACAAGTAGATAACAAGACGTCGTCAGCCTCTCCAACAACATCTGGGGATGGCCGTTGATGGCCATGATTGGGCTCGCTGAATCACAGGGATCCAAGGCACTAACAGCCCTGACTACCCATTACCCGAAGCGATGGTGCATGCACTGTGCGTAGCCACACGCCAAAGGAGCAAGGGGCAATCTTGGCGCCAATCCACTGGGGTCATGTAGAGATAGTGTGGTGACAAACTGGGCAATTGATCTCGCTGTGCAGATGACAAAGGCGGCGCGAGTTTCCAGCGCGTCTACAGCCTATGTAGATGCTGTAGCTGCATTGGGGTGTATTATCATCAGGGATAATGAAGCCGGAAAGGACTAAACAGTGATATAGCTTCTCAGACTATGGACTCGCAACTCGGTCTCTTTGAGGTAACACAACGGATAACAGCACTGACCGCAACGGCTAAACAGATGCTGAAGAAGCAAGGATCAAGCTCATAGCTGAACGTGACGGCGCGGCGTCCCGTACAGTATGACAGGGACTTGCTTACTTACATGTGGGTAGTGTAATACCCAGTGTACAAATAATGAGGATGAAATGTCATGAGCAGAAGATGGAGACGGTACCGGGAGCGCAAACGAAAGCGATGGCAAACTTACGCATCATACATGTGGGAGGTCCTCAGCCAGCTTGGCGAATTAACAGCCCTCGACAGCTTTCAGCCAGACCGTATGCTAACTGTACGCTGTCGTCCGCCGCTACACTAATGCGGTGACGAGCGGAGTAGGTAGTCTCGTCACGCACAGATATACATACGTATGCCGAGCTGGATATCCCGGTAGAGGTAGCTTGTTGCACAGTGTCCTGGTGAAATAACCCGATGTGTCACGGGTGGTAGAATGATAGGATGATATCACACAGCCCTCTTCAATACCTACTGGCCTCAGATGGCCTGTGTGACTACTTAGATCTACAAGAGGTATCGTTTAGTGCTCAGCCTCAGACGGTGCAAACTAGCCACATGAAATGTACTAACACACCTGTGTATGTGTAACCAACAATGAGGTTGACTACTTAGATATTCCCCGCTGCTCTATGGCTGAGAGAACGAGAACGAGAGATGTCTGGCGGATCTAACTGTCGGCGGAGGTGGCCGTTTCTCTGACATGGAATCAGGTGCGATAGATATGGGAGTAAACAGAGTAATCGCCTTGGCTATTTCTAGGCACGGGGATCAGGAAGATGCCGACTGAGGTGAAACCGATGTCTTAGCGAGTATAGCGAAGGTGGTGGATATATCTATCAAGGATGGGGTATCTTTTCACAAAGGGAGTAAAGCAGCAACAATATAAAGGCTGAGAGAACGCAGCGAAACATTCGATGGATAGGTAATATAGCTTGCTAGGTACCTGTCTCAAACAATCAGACAAAGGTCGGTCGGTGGATATACATATATAAGTACCAGCAATCGGAAACCAGCTTCACTTCTCTTCTCTGCATTTCCTTACACTTATGTACACAATCCCAATCAATTGACTACCTACGGTACTTAATGCCCTACGTGGCTCCCTGCCGTCCTACGTATCCTGGTAGGTAATAAGACGATGATGATGGTGATGGTGATGGTGATGATGATGATGATGATGCTGTGTCGCAGCGAACCAGCTCATACCTAGCATAAAACACAGTGCGTCACATCCAATCTTGGAACATTCTCGTTTGGGTGGCTTGTTTGGTGTAGCCAAGACAAGTCCAAAAAGTGCCGTTAATTCCGATGGGGTTTAGCCAGGGTCTGCCAGGTCCCTCTTCCCGAATCCTGTGACGTAATTTAGCATACATGTAGATGTACGGTAGATGTCGACTTCTGCATACTTACATCTGTGCGTACCTACAGCAGGTATTTGTTAAAGTTAGTATGTAAGATACGATTGAGGATACCTAGTGAGGTAACTTGGTTCAGTTCTCGAATAGTGAATACTTATGAAATTAGCTGTCGATGATTGCATCGTCATTGCTCTCGAACAGCAATGTTCACCATGTAATATGTAATCCCCCTTGTCGAACACGCAAAGAGACTGATGCGGCGTGCATCTCCAAGTATGCAGCAACACGAAATGATATACAGTAGGTAACTGTGAATCAACAGCCTCATCACAACCAGAATAACGCGAAGCTCATGTGCACGCATAGCAATATCGAGGTCTCATCGCAGTCAAGCTTTATCCAAGCACTCTGGGCAATGGTACAAGCTTCGGCCCATCTCTTGGCTACTCGGCTTGGGCAACACTAAAATACGGACACACAGTAGAAATAGTTAAAACCAAAATAATAAAGAGTCGAAGTACCGCCTGGTTCAGATGACCAGACAGTACAGGTAATTATGTTCTCATGCGCGAGTGCCATTCACTAACTTGGGATAGGTATATAAAAAGAAGCTTATGTACGATTTAGCAACCATGCCATCAATGACAGGCGCAGAGAAGCTTCATGCTTGGCGCTGGGAGGGGAGAAAAAAACATGACTATATCCATCACCCGTATATAATATATAAGTATATATATATATCCAAAATTCAGATCAGCCTCCCCATCACTCCTCATACCAGTTCACGAACCTCTCCTCGCCCCTCTTGACCAACCTTAGAGGAATGCGAGCTCCGTTGTGCAGCTTGAGCGTGATGCGTGCCTCGCTCGAAGCGATGACGTCCCTAGACCTCTTTACAGCCTTCCTATACAACGCATCTTTCTGGCTCTGGTTCATGCGCGCGACCTCTTCGTCAGACGCCCAATCCTCGACTGCGTTCTCGATGCTGTACTTTTGGAAGATGGCGGCAACCGCCCCGAGGACTTCGACAATGGCGAGGCGTCGGCCGAGACACGCCCGCGGTCCTTCGGAGAATGGGATGAACGAGCCGCGCACTGGCCGGAACATCGAGGCGCTCGTGTCCGGGCCGGCGTATCCGCCAAAGTCCTCCGTTTCGGGTTCGCCCGAACTCTGTTTCTCGTCCCCGCCGATGCTCGGGCGGAACCATCGCTCCGGCACCCAGTCGTCGAGATCGTCCGGCGCACCCGTGATTTTGCTAGGTCGGCCGGGCCAGGCACGCGGGTTACGTTGGCAAGCCACCACGCAAAGGCCGAGATAGGTATTAGGTGGCAGTGCGCGCCTGACGCCATCAATCGTAATCGTCTGCTCCTTCGTAGGTGGCGTCTTCTTCGGTACTTCCACAACAGGCGGCATGACGCGCAGTGTCTCGTTCATGACAGCGCCTATCATGGACGCCTGCATGGCGCCAACCTTTTCTTCGTAGTTCCACGTGGCTGGGTCCGTATTGCGCCCCAAAATCGCATCAATATCCTGTTGTAGACGCCGCTGCGCTGCGGGGTTGTTCGCAAGCTCCAGCATCGTGAAATGCATCACGTTGGCTGTGGTCTCATGGCCCGCCAAGAACATGATGAACGCATTCCCGATGATCTCCGAGTCGTCCAGCTGGATTCCTGCTTTATTTCCGTCCTGCTTGTCTTGGTATGAAGTTGCGACTAGTGACCCCATGATATCCATGCCTACGTCTCGGTCTCCTCGGCGGACATCTTTCACTTTTTGCTGAAGGAATTCCTTCATGTATAATTCATAATTTTCCTTAGCTATCTTTGCTTCTTTGAACATCTTGGACGGGTGGTTGTCTGACATCAGTTAGTTACGCGGCTACGTCGTGTTTCAACGGACAGTCTACATACTCAGGATGATGGAAGGTGTTAATAATAGCACCAGCAAATGGTGTAAAAGGCCCCCAATGGACTCAGCAAAAGTCAAGGAATGGCCCTCGGGAGGTTCAAAGCTCGCGTATCGGGCCATTTTCGAATCGGCATTCACTGGCAACGGTTGACCTGGCCAAACTAAACGCAACCCGAAACCAACATAGCTGATGATGTTGAGAGCCATCGACATTGTGTCGTGCTCGACAGTCTGGAAGCTTCCATCCTTCTGGGTCCGCAACCAATGGTCGGTCATACCTTGCGCTTGCCCGATGGCATCTCTAAACACCAAAGCCGAGTTTTTCTCATTAAATGATGGCGAGGTAACCTTTCTATGCATACGCCATAGAGCGCCCTCCGTTGTCACGATGTTGCGGCCGAACATGCTAAGAATTGCGTAATGCTCCAGGGGCTTGGGGAAATCTTCACGTCTTGATGTGATGTCGGCGATAATCTCGGGACTGGCTGTATGCATTGTCAGGGTAAATGGAGTGACGATAAGAATATTGTCACCCATTTTGGCGAACGGCGCAAACCGTTTCTTGAACTGCCAATTATGTTCGCACACCCTTGCAAGTAATTCCCATTAGTCCATGTCTTAGCACTAGCTGTAGGGATAATATAATAATCGAACATACTCGGCAATGTCTTCCCAGTATTTCTTTGGGACGAGGAACTTCCATAGCGGAACCCAAATGAAAGCGAATATTTGAGCTATATTGTTGATAGGATTTACAGCTGGAAATCGGTGAGTTTTAGGCCAAGCGACCAATACGCAGTCGCCACTTACGAACAACATGATACGGGAGACCGGTGGACTTCGCACGAGCGATATTGGTCCGGAGGCCATTGATAATCTTGAATGCCCACCAGGCGACAACTGCGCCGGTAACTAAGAGGATTGAGGACACCATCTTGCTAGTAGCGCCCTCTTCTGCTTGCTTTATTCAAGTTGCCGTGGCCGCTGTTAATGGTCCAATGTGAAGAATAGATCAGCCGCGAGAGCTGTCAGACTCTTGGTCGCGTCTCACCGTCAGCTTGGGGGGGCGAGCAAATTAGCGACTAAACATAAAATTTCGAGTCGGCCAGCCGGTCCTCGGGATAGCTGAATGATCAGGACGGTAGCAAAATGAGAGAGGAAAATGAATAAAATAGAAATGCATTGCCGCCGAAAAGCGAGTTGTCATAAAATCTAGTGCTTGTCGGTCGTCATTCGGTATGGCGTTCCCACTCTAGGTGGGACGTGACATTAACTGGTAACGGCAAATCTGCTGGTTGGTATTTGGCATCTCTGCCCATCAGCTCTACACTACTTGCTCTAAGCGACCGAGTAGTCCCGGATCTCCCACGTCCCGACAGCACCGGTTACAGCCTGAGCGGGGGGCCCAGTCCTCGGTTTGACGTCTTGACTGGTATCCAAAGCTCCTGATAGGCCACAACGCATTGTCCAAGTGTTCTCGATGCTTTCTAGGGCGGATCGCCTGCTCGCTTATGGACAGCCTTAATACCTGTAGGGTTCTGCTCTAGGTGTGTATTTCGACACTACCTAGATAGAAACAAAGTGTCTAATCTACTACAAGCAGGTAACATAAGTAGATAGGTCCTGAGTAGGTAACGGGCTCTGTAAGCGAGGATGGGTTGCATCTCGCACTCGCGCTCCCTTACCCACCCGTAGCCACATGGCCAACGACCTCGCTTAGCACTGAACCTCGCCATTCGTCCATTCACCTATTCGCGAAAAGGCCAGGCGTGATTACATCCTTGGCGATTCTTAGCGAGCGCTGATGACTACTTGGGCATTCGAGGCGTTCGAGGCGTTGTTGAAACAAAATCATTGAGTCCAGTTCTGTTTGGTGGGAACGTCTTAGCGATCAAAGGGGTCGGACAAATGAAGAAGGTCGTTTGATTAAGTGTGTAGCCAACCGTCAGCGCAGCCACCCAGTAGGCCCGCCATCCTAATCCTAGTAAATGTTTCGAGTTTCTCATCCGCCACTTTTATCATGTGATAGAGCGGCACTGGCCTTTTTCTTTGTCCTACAACAATCCGCACATTCTAGGTAATACGAGCATAAAATAAGCTTATTTGCAAGCTGTCCTTACTGGAAATATGTTTTAATTTCCGGCGCATGGTTTCCGCATACCGGTACTGCGTATTCAGCTTGTCACTATCGATAATGTCTTGTGAAATCGATCATCCCCACCGATATCCAAACGATGTTGTACACGGCTGTAGACCAGCAGCATATATCGTCAGAAACAAGATGTACAGTGATATGCATAATAACACCAGCACATAATATGCTATCAGCTCATCGAAAGGCTCGGTCATGATCAACAACCAGACCAAGGAGCAACTCAAATTCTGCATATCGAAACCAGATACCTACATCACGTTTCCATCACAACTACCACAATAGGTGGCGTAACCAGGGAAGCGGGCCACCATTATCCTCGGAGCACCTGACACAACATTACATCGCTCTAAGGGCCGAGGAGATTGAAAGTGATATATCTGCAAGTATTCGGCATGGAAATCTCTAGTTACCCAATTGAGATGCCCTCTCCGGATCTAAATATCAGCCAATGACCTTTCTCTCGAATAGACTCGGAAAAGTGCTGGCTCCGTATATGCGTAAACAAGCCTATAGTGCAGACCTTCGCTGATAATTGTTATGCCTGCGGCGCATTGCCCGTAATGGTAGCATACAGCGGTGGATAAGATCGTCTCAAAATGTTATATATTTGGCTTCTGACGTCGCACAAGTAGGTGGCGCATGATGATCCTGAATCTCGCCTCACGTCTCCCATTTTCACGCAACCTAGAAAAAGTTGGTCGTCGGAATCAAAGCGTACACATCTCGTGGGTAATAGGAAGCGGCAACCCGAGAGATCCAAGCTACCGTCTGCATCATGTTCAGCCCTCGAAACAAAGTTAGAAGTGTTCAGTCAGCATCCGTGTCGTGGATGCTATGATAACGATGAATTTCGAAAACTATACGTGATTTTGGATATAAAATGTCAAGTACCTGACACCTTCTCACTGGTAGTATTGGCGTATGAGTTTACCAGTTCCAGCTATATGCACAAACCAGAGCAGCAGTGCGATAGGATTATGGGCAGCGATGACTGGTTATACAGGCCGTTGTCGAAGTAAAGCGCTCTAAGTCGGTAAATCTACGTTTCCGGAACCGCCATCCAGCCTAATCCTCCCTTTTTTTTATAGTACTCTTCAAAAGAAACCTTGGACGCCCGTTATGCATGATACTTCTCGAAAACCACTTGTCTATCGTTTTCCGCTACTTCAAATCGACACAGTGATGAAGGCTCTCATAGCACGCACAGCATCTCCATCATGCACTTTCAGCAATTCGGTGGCTTTCGGTTTCGTCAACTCGAGCTCGTCGACCTATAAAACAGGACATATTAGCATATTAGCATCAGTGGCTGGATTCTCTCCATCTTAGGGCAGCAACGGTCGCCGGCTCGGCCATGCTGTCGTAGGCTGAGATGAGTCTAGCAAATTGAATGAGGATGAGGGAATGTGCGGAGGAGGGAGCTCACGAGAAGTGCCACATCGGCAGCATCAACCTTCACTTTCTTGACTTCCTTCTTCTCGGCAGACGCAGCAGTTCCCAGGTTCTTCATGGCCTTGCTAACAGCAGCAGCATCGACTTCAGCAGCCTCGGCGCCGTCGCCGCTAGAGTCTAAGTTCGCGAGGGCGGCAGCGGCTTTGCGATCTTCAGCTGACTTAGCTTTGACGACATCTTCTTCGACATCGCCGATGCGGGATTGAGGTTCGGCCATTGCGCCTGGGCTCCGGGTGGCAGGGAGGTGTTTAGCGAGGCGGATAAGTCGAAGATGCCTTTATAGTAGCGATTCTGTCGTGTCAATTGGCAAGGTCAAGTTGTTTTGTTTTGTATTGTGTTGTGTTGTATTTACGATCGTTGTTTAAGTGGGAAAGCTGGTAGACATTAGCGCTGAAGCTATCTTCTCAATGCAGGTGGTTCAAGTAACTCATACTGCCTGCAGAGTGAGGGGCTACAGCGGGGGGGACACTAAGTCGCGGACCCTAATCCTGGCCTGGGGTACCTACTATGTACTCTCGCTACCTACTGTAGGTACTTAAGTAGGTAACGGACATGATCACCAAGCTGTCCGAATAACGGAAGTGAGGTTCTGGCGTCAGGTACTATTTTGTTAAAAAAGTGGCTTCATTTCTGTGGTGCGGGCTGAGTCACAGATTCAATGATTCATATCAGCTAGTTCTGGTTCTCCGCGTACAACTAATCAATTATTCTTGACTGACCACTATTCAACCGCGGGAAAGCCTCAGGTGTCTATCTACTTGCATAAGATTCTTCGAGGCTGGCCGTTACCTATCAAAAACTGAAAAGATAACCCGCGATCTGCGGCCTCAGACTTATACAAGACGGGATACTTAAAGGATACCCTCCTAATACAACGCGCTTAACTGAAAGGTCAACATGACAAACAGCCACAAGGCCAGCGCAGACTGGACGCCGTCGTCATGGCGCACAAAGCCAATCAAGCAATGTCCCGAGTACCCAGACATAGCCGCGCTTCACAAAGCGACGGGAGAGCTGGGCAGGCTGCCGCCAATTGTGCACCCGCACGAAATCGAGAAGCTGAAGCAGTCACTGCGGGATGTAGCGCGCGGTGAGGCTTTCCTGCTACAAGGCGGTGACTGCGCTGAGCTGTTCGACTACTGCCGGCAGGACGCTATTGAATCTAAGATCAAGCTTCTGCTGCAGATGAGTCTGGTACTGATCTGGGGCGCCGACAAGCGTGTTGTGCGCATCGGCCGCATGGCCGGCCAGTACGCGAAGCCGCGCTCGAGCCCGACCGAGATCGTCGACGGGCGAGAGGTGCCGTCTTTCCGTGGCGACATCTTGAATGGGTATCACCTGGAGGAGCGGGAGTTGGATCCCCAAAGATTAGTCAAGTGAGACGACACTCATTCATCTATCTCACGCTTTCTATGCAGCATTTTATCTTCCACTCTCGAGAAAAGTTCTTGAGAGAGTTCTTGATTATCTTCCGCAAAGATGGACTAATTAGAATTAGGGCATATAACCACTCAGCGGCAACTCTCAACTACATCCGAGCCGCCATCTCAGCAGGCATAGCAGACCTGCACCGGCCCTTGAACTGGAGTCTGGGACATGTCAAGGACCCGGAGCTAAAAGCTAAATACACGGCTGCGGTACAATTCCTACAAGATATGCTACGCTTCATGCACACGATTGGCGCGGATAAGAGCCCTAAGCTGGACACCATTGATCTTTACACAAGCCACGAGGGCCTCCTCCTCGAGTATGAGGAGAAATTGACACGCTTGATGGACGTGCCCCCAGCGATTAATCCACCACCACATTTTACAGAGGGCGGCCAACCGCGAAAGCAGTACTACAACACCTCGGCGCATTTTCTCTGGATAGGGGACCGCACGCGGCAAATAGACGGTGCTCACGTCGAGTTCTTCCGTGGCATCGCGAACCCAATCGGCATCAAAGTCGGCCCGACAACGCCGACATCAGATCTTCTAGAGCTCCTGCGGACGCTAAACCCGGACATCGAACCCGGCAAAATCACGCTGATAACGCGGTACGGCGCCTCCAAAGTGCGCGACCTTCTCCCCTCGCATATTCGTGCCGTAGAAGGCAGCGAGTACAAGGGGGCAGTGATCTGGCAGTGCGACCCGATGCACGGCAACACGAGGTCGACAGGCACGGGCATCAAGACGCGGCGCTTCGACGACGTCTTCTCAGAGCTGCAGGAGACGCTGCACATCCATAAGGAAGAGGGCAGCTACCTGGGCGGCGTACACCTCGAGCTCACCGGCGACGCCGTCACCGAGTGTCTCGGCGGCAGCGAGGGTCTGGCCGAGGACGACTTATCCACGAACTACACGAGCTTCTGTGACCCGCGCCTCAATGAGCGGCAGGCCCTCGAACTGGCCTTCCTCGTCGCAGATAGTTACCGGAAGGAAAGGGCTCTGTAGTGACCAGTTTCCGAAGCACCTATCCCCATATTCTATTCATTATTCCGAATCTAAATTCATGAGACTCTAGCGGGTTGGGGGGGGGGGGGGGGGATGTCAGCATAAAATAAAAAGGGCCAGGGGAAAAGGGAAAACGACTAGGAAACACAGATATAGTAAGAACGAAAAAGGGGATTTCTCGAAATATATCTCATCAGATACAGATGTATCTTGGTAGCAGTAAGGTGCACAAACTTTTCGGTCCATATTTGACCGAAATAAATCACATTTCTGAAATACAATAAAGAACCATGACAAGCTGAGTGAGTAGAGGCTTGATTCGGAATTTCAACCCAGACGTAAAGAAGACTAGACAACATGACTTGAAATGACCATAGCTTGATATTGCACGGGAAAAAACACAAGTCTATTATAAACATCTACCTACACCAATCTCGACAGATGATTCGAATCAATGTGGTAGAGCCATCGTAATTTCACATCATCATCCGCTCACCTCCAAACATCGCTACTATTTTGATATCCTTAAGTGGTAGTTATCTATGTATTCGAAGTAGGGTCACTGAAGCCTATTAGTAACCAATCAGACGTATCAATAATAAAGTTATCCTTCGTCAAGCAAACTCGAGGTTTATATCGGTATATTATAGTATCCATACTCCTCGTACAACCCTCGCCGCCATATGGCGGAGAATCTATTAACACTACATACAATCGCCTCCCTCACCCGCCAATTATCATCTATATTTTTGTTCTCGAAAGAGATAAACCACAACTAGTTAAGTGGGAAGGTCGTGTCCTTCCAGGATCGCGTCCGCTTCGAGATGTTGAGAGTCCACATCGGACTAATAATAGCAACAAACAGCCTTTTTGGTTTTGGAATATCTCAAATCGGGGTACAAATTTGTTGGGATGATTTGAGATGCTATGAGATGACAATACTAGGAGAGTAGAGAGAAAAGTAAAAGGAGAAGACCACAAAACTTGATCTAAACCGCCAGTCGAACTCCCAACCGGATGCCCATATCGAAATTGAATACTTAACTATAAATCATTCACTATCGTCACGTCACATCGTCAGCAGGCCGTAAGTTTATCAGCATGTGATGATGCCGACCTTGTAAGCTGCGCTTTGCGCTTTCCCGAAGCTCTGAACACGCCTTCGCTGATGCAGATCATCAGCAACCTAGCATAAGAATCAGAGTATCGCCAGCCAGGTCCAACTTGGGTTCCAGGGAGAGTATAACTCATTAGGAATGTTTCCAGGCCGACCAGGGCAACGTGGATGATGTGAATGGAGTAGGAAGAGTGTGTTGTTTGGCTCGCCTGCCTAGACCTCGCCACCCCTTGCTCGCCCCCTACGTCTAAAGAAGTCCATAACTCTCTTCGCAGCGCCACTACTTCCAGCATGATCCCGTGGCCTTCCGTACTCTTCTTCGTCGTACGCATCTACGAAGCGCTTGTTCTTTTGAAGCACACGTTCACCTTGCCGGTTGCCTGTCCGACGGCTGTCAAATTGGTCAGAATCATAGCCAGACTGGTATGGAGCTGAGTTAGGTGGTCTCCGTTGTGGGCGATCAACAGAAGACTCTGATTCCGAATTCAGCACGGCACCTTGTTGTAAATAGGAGGGAATGGCAGAAGCTTGAGATTCTGAAGGATAGCGACGATGAACAGCAGAGCTGGGGCCATGATTGATTTGAGGTGGTGCCTGTTGTGTTTCCAAGGGCTGCTCATAAATTCCATCTGTATGTTGCTGTCCAGGGTTGCTCTGACTCGGAGGTGGGTTGACATATCGACCATAGGGGTCTACCTCTGGCGGGTCTTGAATTGGTAGATCAGGCTGTGAGCCATCGGGGGGTGGTGAAGCATCTTTGCCCAAACCCATAACCTTCATTATGGAGAAACGCCTAGCATTTGGTGGCCTCTCAGCTGATGCTTGAGAGCCTATTATACTACCGCTGCGTTTCTTTCCAAGGCCCAGCGTAAATGATTTACGGGAAGCCCTAGAATCCATAGATACCCTAGACTCGCCGGGCATGGTATTGGACATGCTGACAGGCGGATACTTCTTGGAAGGCTTTTCCCCTTCTCGCTTCTTACGGGCACCAAATATCGATCCGCTGCGACCAAAAATCTTGCCACCGATCTCACCGATAGTGTTCGATCTCCTATGGCCCTTGCCCTCGCCCGATGGCGGAGTGGGCCGAGTATTAAACCCAGAGACTTCGGCGAATTTAGGAGGCATGTTGATGCTCGGTCGCCCGAAGCTTAGATCGGCGGTATCTTGTGGAATCGGGTTTGATATGACGTAATTCTTAGGACCCTTCGGTTGTTGTATGCTTCCTTGCGCGTTAGTACCGGCAACGGCAGGGGGTAAAGGTAAGCCGTACGACGCTCGTGAGGATGGAACTAGTCCTCTAGAACCAGAAGAATGTATCGATCCACCAGTAGCAGGTCTCGATACAGATGGCCCAGCACTGGTAGACATATATGCATGATCAGATGTAGAACGTCCTTGACTTGATCGTGGAGGAGGCACGTCCCGTCGGTGCGCATTCGGTGGCTTTCGAGAATCTCTAGATGACCCAGCGTACGGGTCTTTCACAAGCGGGGGGTCTTTCGGTAACGGTTTTTCATGTGAAGACTGAACATCTGCAGGACCCTGGCTGGAAGATTTACCTTTACTCTTGGCATGAGAAGAAGTATGAGCTTCAGGTTGTTCTGCTCCCCTCTGGGTCTGCGTTGTAGGAGCGACGTATTCCACTTGTACTGTCCGCCGTTTATTATCCCTCTGCTGTTTCGTGTGGGATACTTCATCAGCATCAACTTTGCCCTGTTTCCGTGCCAAATCGCCAACTGGAATAGTAGTGGTTGCTTTAGTCTTTGTTTGCTCTCTAACAGAGGCACTTCTTGCCAAACCACCAGATTCAACTTCGTCGGATGGTACAGTAGTGTTCTGGATTTCACTAGATGTCGTAGTAGTGCTGGTGATTAGTTCTACTACATGTGCGTATTCGCTGAGCCAACTATGTCGGGCAACCTCGAATAAATCGGCTCGTTTTCGCGGGCTTGGTACTAGGATGCGGCGAAGCAGATCGCGAGCATGCGGAGTTACATACTCAGGGAATGTGAGGGGGGTATTAACAATATACTTATACAATAAATTGATATTATCGCCTTCTGGGTTGTCAGGGTCGTCATCAAAGGGTAGATATCCTGCAAGCATGGCATACTTCGAGCCGATGTGAGTTTGTGCCGGTTTCATGCGAAAAAGGGGGATATACATACTAGAATAACACCGCAACTCCAGACATCAACTTTGCGACCAGTATACAATGAGTCGCTAACAACTAATTCTGGTGCAGCATAGCATGGGCTTCCACAGCTTGTCTGCATCAGGTCACCTCTGCGCATGCCATTTGGTTTGGTCTTGTCCAAACCAGTTCGCTTGACGAAGTCACGATCGGGTAGATTGAGCTCTTCTTCTTCCGTCAATTCATCGGCCGCATCGAACGTATTGGCAAAGCCAAAGTCGGTAATGATGATATTCCGGTTCCGGTCAAGAAGCAAATTCTCTAACTTAAGATCTCGATGAACAATACCCTTTTTGTGCAAGTAACCCACACCTGATATTAACTGGGCAAAAAGCCTCCTTGCAGCTTGATCTTTGAGATAACGGTGGTTTAAAATGTAATCGAATAGTTCACCACCAGAGGCGTATTCGAGGACAATGCCAATATGGCGTTCGGTTTCGGACATTTCGTGTAATCTAACAATGTTTGGATGGGAAAGCCCTCGCAAGATGGCGACTTCACGGTAGATTTTGGCTAACCGTGAAGGATTGTTGCCCACACTATCACGGCGGATAAGTTTAATCGCAACCTGGCACTCAGATTAGTTACTTGCCAGCACAACAATATTCAGAATATTAGGCCGCACCTGGACGCCACCATCTTGCTTCCAACCCAACTTGACTTTTCCGAACTCGCCTTCACCAATAGTATTGCCCAAATAATAGTCACCAAATCGCGATGACTTTTCCCGTTTAGAATGCTCATGCCGGCTACGACCACCACGTCGACTTTCATCTTGAGCTTCGTGCATGTGCACTACTGGAGATGTTGCGACTGCCTCATCGTCATTGTACGCTGCTGATGTTCCATGCGGCTTGGACTCCTCTCGGCGTTCCTTCTCTCTCTCCAGGTCGACTTCGGGTTGCGAAACTATAACGCGGTTAAGCACTTCACTGGCCTCACGAGACGGCTGCTTGGATGACATCGACGCTGCCTGTTGATCACGAGTGCGGACAGGTATTGTAGTGGATGCGGTTTGACGCTGGTCCCTCTGATCCTCTGATGCATGCAACATCGCTTGAGGTGCATGCTGGGACCCCGTTCTGCTCGTGCGCGAGCTTGGTTCGTCATACGCAGATGGCCGGATATCTGGATACCCATTAGAACTCATTTTGCTATCCTCCCCAGGTGTCCGCCTAGGAGAGTCTGCGGCACGTTCTTCAGCACGTGCAGCTCTACGTCCGACAGGTTGCCCCGAACCTGTGTTACCATACTGTGTCGAGGAAGTCCGAGGAGGAGCTACTGGGGGGTCGTGTCGCCGGCGGCCTGAAGCTGGCTTCTCGTACTCGGCAGAGGCGGCCATCACAGGGGCCGGCGATGCCAATGTAGTGCGCGAAGTCATGGTTGGTTGCGACTGATCTAGGTAGGTAGGAATAGGACTTGTTGTGTTGGCAGAATTTCCGCTAGGTCTCGTAGAAGGGCGTTTCGACGAGTGTCCAGGCGAAGCGGATGGGTGTTCTCTGTTTGCATAGCGACCTTCGCGATTCGGAGACTGAGCTGGGGTATATTGACGGTTCGAGGGAGATGCCGACGGCGTGTGTGTGTTTAATGCAGAAAGTGAGGTTGGCTGATGGGGAGCAGATTGTAATGCAGCAGAAGACATTTTCTACGCCCAACGCGTAGAACAATCAACGAACACCGAAAGCTAACGAGATGTACCAAATGCAGAAGCCGGACTTGGTATGCTGGCACAAACAGCACCTTGGCAGTAGCTGTTGCGAGATATTTGAAACAAAAAATCAGGCTGACCAGGAAAAATCGGCTGTTATGCGATGCAGTACACCGTAAACATGCAAGAGCAAAAGACCAGACAGGGCTGTTGTGGGCAGGGTAGGGCAGAGCAGGGAATAGTCCGGTTTGTGAACTGTGAGATTGCTAGATTGCATACAAAGCTGAAGACGCGCCGGGTCAATGCAAAGAACTACGCAGTAGGTCCAAGAGCGGTCTGACCGTTTGGTCGTCCAATAAGCCAGGATTTTATTGCGTGTAGTGCCACAGAGACAGATTATCGCTCACCCGCCCGTTCTGGTCTGGATAGCTTTAATTGAGGACAACACAAGTCTGAGGGTCGATCGTGGGCGGCGAACGCGGTATAGGTTGATCGGTATAGTTGTATCGAATTGCGTTGCCAGGTCGCGGTGGTTTTCTGTCGCGTCGTCTAGCTTGATCCGATTCGTGTGGGCCTTGGTTTGAATTGACTTCACTTGACAGATGTGCTATGGTCGAGCCGCTGTGAATTACCTTTCTGATAATGTCAGAGAAAAGAATTATATGCAAGTTAATGTAGGATGACGCTAGCGAGGCCAGGTACGTCGGGCGTTTGGGTTTCTGATAGTGACGATGCTTCGAACTCAATTGCACAGCGCTGGTGTTTCGTTTCGGCGGTCGCGTTTGGATGAGGCCAAGGTCGTCCGCCCGGTCAGTGCGTTGCTTCGCTGGTGATGGTGCGATATGGCTGGCGTGGCCTGGCCTGGCACGGCTAGGCTGGAGTATCTGGTGATTCTCGATGCTCGTTGGTTGTGAGGAAGGGAGCACAAATGCACCTAGGCTGGCCAATTGATAGGTAGGAAGGTACCTGGAAGGGCGAGGAGAGGGAAAAGAAGGATAAAAAAAAAGATGCGAGCTGCGAACTGCGGACAACACGACGACAGCGACAACAGCGCCAGAGGCCAAAGAGTCAATCGTGCGACAACAAACAACCACTCGGACTCTCTCTTTCCCAGGCCGTTGGATTCCAAAGCCGAGAGAATCACACTGGCGCATCCGGAGGAGGGAAGGAAGGAAAGGAGTAGGTATAGGCGACTGGCGGTCGGCCGGATTGAGAGAGGGAGAGAGATTTGCCCGGGGGAGATTGGCTGCAAACTGAAATACAGGGCCTTTCCTGGGTACAGTACCGCCCGCTAGAGTACTGTACAGCGGTCCCGGTTCGCTACCAGCGGGCAGACAGTGGGCTACTAGTGTACCTAGGTAGCCTGACTGCTGTACCTCATACAACCTACCTGGGCACATACTTACAGTAAGTACTTTCAATGTAAGACCATGGCCTGTCTCCTACCTATAAAAATATATACCTATAGTCACCATGAGAAACTCGGGTTGGCTGCTCACAAAAGCCATTTCACTACAACATAATGTTTATCTCTAATATATATAAATAGGTAGAATAGGCAGTTATGTAGATACCGGTACGCTCACGACATCGCCAGGGAAATCGGCTCTCACCCATAATGCTAATTGATCAAGAGATTGCCTACTTAAACAAGTTTAGTGTAAAATCGCGAAAGAGAAACGAACTAAGTACATAGGTACCCACCTAGGGATATACTTACAGTGCCTGGGACGCAACCGTGCGCTACAGCTGTACCTTGTACCTACTACCTGTACTTGTAACAAGTGTCGGCGATCTACTGCCTGTCCATCTATCATGGCCAGAAACAGAATGCTCTTTCTTCACTGTGTGAGAGAGAAGCACAACCAAGTCATAACATAGGGAATATGAAAAAGAGGATGATCGAAGGCGTCTGGGGCAGACATTATTCACTCGTACAGCAAAGGACGAAACGCTCCTAGACAGTAGTATGGTACCTAGCGGGAATCTAACCTTTAGACTTACTGGCCTCAACGTTCAAAGCTAGGTAGAACGATATAACTAACTGCAAAGAGCAGTTAGGGCGTAAGCGACTACCGTACCTACAGTAGCGGTAAATGAGAGTGCTATCGCAGTATTTAGACTCTACCTAGGTAAACAATACCTTAGGCAAGGTACCTTTAGCTTTACCTCGCCTACCTATGTGCTTATGATAGAACAAGTCCTGCTGTTCATTGTATCATGTCTACTCCTAAGCAGCTCGAGGCGTAATGTTTCTCTGCGCGATGGAAACAAGGAAACAGGGAAATAAGGAAATGAGGCTTTATGGGAGCAGCACGTATTTAATTCTAGCTGGTGGAACCCTGGCATCCCACCAAGCCTTCCAAGGTTACAACTGTACCACGATGTCAGTCAAGGTCCTTGTCAGGTTCTTGTTAAGGTCCATGCGGGTGTTCCCCATCTCGTAATTTCCCGCGTAGATACTCACGGTAAATCAGTGCCCCATGAATGCTGGTATTAATATCCAGGGAGGACCTGAGATGTACATTATCTACATTGTCTAGGTACCTGGTATCTACCTACTTATCTACATAGAGTAGATCCAACATTAAGTATAAATGAGCAGTGTAATCAAGCACAATCTTGCTCCTTTACATACATAAGTATCAGAGTACTGGTTATCTAGCTGCTTACCTACATACTATGTACATAGTATATTATGGAGGGTTTGCTTGCAGTAGGACAACCGTGCAGCGCCCATGCCATGCCCGAGAGCTCTATCAGACTCTAGGTAGGTAACCTAGGTATTCTACGTGTACATTGAAATACTATATTTCTTCATGCACTGGCCGCGGCTAATCCTCTTCGGGGCCTGAGCTCGGCAAGTGGGGACCTGGTGCCCAACCACAGCCGCCCGATACGGCGTTCAAATGCAGGTACATGCACTAGCCATCAAAATGCCATCCACCCTTTCGCCCACCCGCGTGCATCGCGCATGCTGCAGACGCCTTCAGCTGCGTGTCGCGTCACCAGACTCCTCACTTACACCGAACCAGGACCAAGACCCAAGGCCACGACCCAAGACCAGACAAGAGCCACCCATCTCACCCATCTCGCGATGCAAGAAGAAGACTGCGAAACGGCGGCCAAGCGGCCTTTGCTGTTCTTGGTCCAGGTCCAGGTTTCTTTTTTTTCTGCGTCGTGCGCATCTACCCGTCACAGCGAATCGGAACATTTCAGCCGAATCGGATTATTTATAGGACCTCAGCACTAAATGAATGAGTGAGTGAGTGAGTGCTTGGAGCATTGCCATGCCATAGGTATGCCAAGATAGATGCCTCGCTCCTCTTCGGTCCCTACCTCTCCTTCGGGCTGCTCGATACCTAGCTTAATAGCGACATTTATTAAAGAACGGCGAACACTGGCCAGCATGCGCGACCGCTTTGACTTGCCAGTGTTCCACATCTGTTCATATAGGCCATCTATCGAATGCCTTGGAAGAGGTATACCTACCACCTGTCGTGACGAGCACTTGTCCTTGGAGATCACACATGACATGCCTGCCATGTGTCTACTCATTTACCTACCTCGTTTACCTACCTCGTTTACCTACCTCGTTCGTAGGTAGGTCTGTCGCATGAAGCATGATTATTACGATTATTACCATGAAATTACTATTAGGCGGCATACTGTAGCCGCTGGACGGTTACATAGTAGGTCATGTTGTCCTGACTCTCGATGATAATAGCCCGTTAATAACAGGCGCGGGAAGCTTGAAATTACAGGGATCCAGGATCTTGAGCCGCGCTTTTGCTACTATGTACTGCACTCCATTAGCACCGGATCTCTCCTACTTACGATATGTACTTCGCACTATGTAAGTGTGTTATTTGAGGTACTGTAAGTAGGTTATGTCAGTCCAAAGGGCAAATTACGCTAGAACGGCGAGGCCGTACTTAGCACCCAAGCGCACACGCTACTACGCTGCTTGGGTGTGCTGTAGCCATCTCGCTTGGATCTGGCCATTGTGGTTACATTGAATGCGAAAATCACCTTATCCATCCCTATCCAGGTGATAGTTACATATTTTCCGACGGTCGATGCGTTTTACCTCAGCTGTGTCTGCCTTCAGTATCCTGTTCTCGAATCCTCGATCATGCGAGGCTGACATCTTAACCCATTCTACAATGTCTAAGTATCTACACGGTGACAGCAGCTATTTATCCCATCCTACGAAGTATGCTCCGTAAGTATAATACCTATGCTAAGCAGTGTCTCCGCGAAACCCGAGGGCGCGTTAACTCGCGACAAATTATTACATAGTAGTGCTCAGCACTTTTCGCCGTTTATGACGTTATACTCTCCTTCCCGGCCGTGCATCCGAGGCAGTTCAAGAAGCAACGTTGAGCTACCTAGTCTCAAACAAGTCGCCTACTATACTGTACCATGTACGGAGTATGCCAATGAATTTCTTTGCCCAAGACAAGTTCGACCTGAGTTCAACGAGGCCGGGAAACATATTGCTATCTATTGCTATTACTAACATCGTTATTTTACTATGCTAGTCGAAGTTTCAAGCTCTCCTACTACGGGTTACATGCACACGCGCTTAGGAAATACGTGATTAGGACGGGGATATAGGTACGTACGCCTTTGATAGCCAACCATCCCTCCTGTTGGTGCCTTTCTCTAACGATTAATTAATACCTGTGCCCGCCCTTCAGCTTCTGGCATCTTTACTCCCTCGTCTTGTTACCTCGAGTAGCCGTTTCAATTGGCAAGGTACTTTGTGAAACAGAAATTACTCGTCCGAGACATATTTGTCGGAGAATAATGGGTTTCTTCGACATCTCCCCTACGTACATCATGGTTCCACGAGGATGTAAATCCAATATACCTGCGTTAGTGTAGTGACCGAGCACATGCGGTGAGTCAATGTACCGAAGAGGGTGTGCTTGTTTCTTGATCATATTAAGACACGGAAGTAGGTATATATAATAATACCTACCTCAATAAGAGCCCGTGTCTTGCTGGTTTCAAATATTTGGTTCAGCCCAAAAGAAGAAACCAAGAGCGAATGGACATCACAACCAAGTTAGGTATGTCAAAACACAGTACAAGATGGTATCAGTTGAGGGGTAAAAATGGCTAGATTTTAGTCGCTTCACTCTAGTTGAGCCTTGCGTTATCATCTCAGAGTTTGACAGCTCAACCCACGCGCACATATATAACTTTGGGGAGCAAAAGCAGGAAATTTTCCCTGTAATACACAGCGCAGATGACCACCGGCACTACAGTGAGGTTTCAGGTCACACGCAAAGGGCGACCACAGCTTGCGCCTATCAATCTAAAACACTGTGAGTTTTTCTTTTTGGCTCGCTAATGACAGCCACCACAGTTGTGCACACGGTGTTTTGCAGATGGTTTCTCAACCCCATCCGGCGTGAAATGAGTAGGCCGGTCCCTTTTCTATGCTGCAGTTGTTCATCACACATACAGTTGGGTTTGTGGCCAACAGGTTGACTTAAGCTGGCTGATTGCCTACTTCCAACCAGTACTACGTAGACACTTGACGAGCGGGAGGGGTTGGACAGATAATCTCAGCTTGGCAGGTAGCCAAACGGTGGCACGCCATATCTTTCAGCCTTTCTTCGTAGACAAGTCACGAATTCAAAGGATCACGATCGATAATAGTGCGATGAATTTAAAATCATAATTAGCCGTTCTCACTTGCTGCATATGTTCTCATTGAATGCGAACGGGGTATTTATCCAGACTCTCATACCATTGAATCACACTGCCAATCTATAAACAAAGCTGTTAGTCTGATTGTACCTGAATTTATAGCGTCTAGATGACCAAGAAGGATCAGAGAACGGCATACTTACTAGAAATGCCCAAGAACCGATAAAAGTTGACAGATCAGAAGTATAAACAGCAGCTTCGCTACTTGAAAATCCGGCTGCACCGCAAAGTGTAAAGCCGATTGAACCGATCAAGTTCCAGAATCCTATGTGCCAGCCAAGGACGTTAAGAGCAGGCGTATACCACGTTGTCTGTGTCTCGATCATGAACAAGAGACTGGAAATGATAAACCCAACACCGCCGACCACCTAAATGATATGAGCGCGGCACGAAATACAACCTATATCTCAGGTACATACCTGGGGTAGCCAATACACCCCGTTAACAGCGGGGGTAGAAAGACGACCTTGGATGGAAGGCAAAGCAGTGAACCCCGATATCCAGAACACAGTCGCCGCAACAAACTGCGCAAAAGACGCCAGGAATCCGATCTCTCGGAAATAGTGCGTCTTCAGTTCAGACCAGGTCGGCCACCACTCCCAAGATCTATCTCCTCTTCTATCAGTTTCAGCCTCCCGTGCTGTGAGAAGACTGTCTCGAACTGAGTGGTGATGCGCACATCCGGCGGGATCCGGGCGAAGCAGAAGGCCATAGCTGTTCATAGCTTCCTCGAGCGCCCACCCGAAGCAATCCGTCCGTCTTTCGTTGACGGCCTCGAGCACTAGGAGCACGGACCCGAGCTCGAAGACAGTAGCGCCTATGAAGGCAGTGATGCCGGCTCCCAGGCCCTCCTCACCGACAAATTCCGTCGAAGGCCATTGAACGGGTAGCCAGGCGAAGAAGCCGTTGACGACCCAGATCACAGACCCTGAATCTATTGCGTTAGTCTATTCAAGATATTCACACAGCCCATTCGCAGAGCACTCTCATCAGCTGAGGTTCCGATAATCAGCGCTGTACCCATGCCTATGAAAAAAAAAAAGCCTGAATTCACCACCTGAGAGCCTTCGAGGAACAGAGTGCACTCCCTATTCATCGCACAAGGGATGAAATGCAACTTACCCAAAGTGAATATGACAGCAACATCATAACTAACATCGAACACAGGATATCTCACCAGCATCCTCCCCATCCCCCGCAAGCTCGCCTTGAGCGTCCCAACAGCATGGGGGTGAGAAATCCCATGTCTCGCCTCACTCGGTGGTGAGATTACAACAGCGTGGCGCCCTTTGCGATTATCCCGGGACTGGTACCGGCGCCATATCCCGGGCGTCGGTGACGTCGCGGCCGTCACCGGGTGATGCTTGCTCGCCGCTTCATGCCGACACGTCTCGTGGAGGAACGGAATGGGGCCGATGTGTTGTTCCTCAAGCGGATCGGCGTAGCTCGTCTCCTTCGATGCCATGTCTACATTAGATGTACCTACAGGTAGCGACTGGATGGATGTGGTAGGTACACTATAGGTACCAATTCATGATCAGGGATCGGATTACGTCAGAATGTTACGGTACCTGACTGGCGAGGTGGCGTGAACAACACGCGATACTAATTATTTGGAGAAACAATTTCCCCAATTTTCAAGCATTCTGGTCTTTTGCCCAATTTAGGGGTTTTCCGTTTTCTTTTTAGCTAGTTTTACACGTGTATTTCAATCCGTCCATGGATCTACCAAGTATGATATCTACAGTTGTTCATTTGCTTACTTAATAGAGTAGCTCAACTCTTTGCTCTAAGTATGGGCATAAGCTTGCTACCTAGCTCTGGGTTAATTAGTACGTTAAATTGACGGTCACTGTTAACATGGATTCGCCCTGCGCTGTGAATGGGCAATGGCTAGGTATTGTGCCTATTAGATCAATCATGATCACAAGATCCGTTGATGCTGGTCTTCACCTAGTTGTAGCTTGGTCTTTCGTGCTTATATCGATCAGCCCTAATCATGCAGTCTGAAGTCCCGGTGTCTGTTATGATGAGACAAGAAGACAAGTTTTGCCACCGAGTCCCCATACGTATTTCCTAACCTTGGGGATGAGCACAGTGATCAAAACTTTCATTTAACAGATTAAATTTTCTTTGCGCCTCAACACGAGTAGGAACAGTCGCTGACACGCACGAGTGATCGCTCTAGGGTTTCCGGTGGCACAACCCTCGGGCCCTGACGGCTCAGGACGGGCTTGATTCCAAGTCTTCATCTATCGAAAACATACATAAGGTCTCTAGGTGTGGTCACACGGCGCTTTGGGGTAGCAGGGGATAACCCCATCCCGTCTGCCTCAGTATGACTGTATCAGAAACGGAATGCTCAAGGCACGGAGACGCCACAGAAAATCTAGACAAAGCCGTTGTTGTCGCACAGCAGCCGCGGTTATGTGCGTACACGGCCCGGGAACATGCAAGCATTGCAGATTCCTCAGGAGATGTCTTAGAACTGTTACTCAAGCTGCTTGTGATGTCTCCCATCGCAGGTTGGAACAGGGATTGCTGAGAGAGACCCAGGCCCTTGGCTGTGAAACTCGACACCATATTGTCTGACCTGGACCTATCACATATCAATTGGGTATTTACTAAGACACATGGTTCGGTAGGAAGCAAGCTATGGTATCCGGTACTGTCATTTGCGCGGCCAATTAACACCTCTTGGATAACTCTGATGATCAGTTCATTGGTGTCAGCTCTTGCATGGATGAGCCATGAGTGAGCTCACCGCGTATGACTTAGAGTGATATTGCTGTCAGAGTTCATGATTAGACCCAGATTTGCCCAGAACAAGAATACACCATTCACCCATCATCAAGACCACCTTAATTGTATCTCTCAGGGAATGTGTCTCTCATCACAGGCTTTGTCTCCTCAAAGATAGCTTAGGTAACGAGACCCCTCGTGCTCGAGTCAGCGATATAATGTCCCTAAGCTTATCGATGTCTCTTCCTCATTAAATACATGTACGACAGTAAGCTCATGACAAGCTTTATTCTAAACAATACTCTTTCATCTCCGACAGAAAGCGAAGACCATTGACTGGTCTCGCAATAAATCATTTGTACTAGTACTAATGACAGAGCAGCTACGGCAGAGGTCACGGACGGCGCCAATGTTTACACGGCCGCCTATCTCGGAGAAGAGACCCAGTATGATAGATGAGTAATAGGTTCTCATGAGCCTCCTGCCTGTTGTCGTTCGCAGGGCGCGCCGATGGACGGACGGACGGCGTGATCTCCAAAATTTTCGTAAGGCGGATATACCAAAAGCGGCTCCCCCGCCAAGGTCGCTCACTACCGTACACCGTCATTCGGGCCCCTATATATTGGTGTATAACACATTTAACAGAATATGATGATTTTGCTAGGCTAGAAAACTTACGGGAAGACCTCCTAACGTGGTCATTTGCCTTTGTTGTCTCGGTATCCGCAGAACTATTCATTGTGCCACCGCCGTGATGCTGTTGAATGGTATCCGTGGTGTCCCTCTCTGGCTGAGCGCCTCGGTGATCTCGGCGCTCAATGCTTTGGTGTTCGGGTTAGTGAAAGCATACTTTGGAATAGATCAGTAGGCCTAACACGAATGTATAGTCTTGACACAGGCACAATTGGGCCGGTGACAACAATGACGTCGTTCAGAAACACATTTGGCGAGCTTTCTCCTGCACTCCATGGGATAGTTGTCTCATCAGTCCTGCTCCCAGGTGCAGTGACGGCACTCATCACCGGGGTACTCGCGGACCGATATGGCCGTACGCGCATCATCGCAGTAGGCTCGCTCGTCTACGGTGTAGGCGCGACCCTGGAGACATCATCCATGTGGCTAGCAATGTTCATCGTGGGACGATTGCTCAAGGGAGTCGGCGAAGGCTTGTTCCTCAGCACCGTATACGTGCATGTCTGCGAGATATCTCCGGCGAGAAAAAGAGGCGTGATGGCCTCGGTTGCGCAGTTCTTCATCTCGTTAGGGCTCGTACTGGGGTTCTTCATCTGCTACGGCACCTCTCATCTTTCAGGCTCGATTTCCTGGCGTTTGCCCATCGCCCTTCAGGCTGCTATCGCTTTTGCCAACGTGGCAGCGTCCCCGCTTCTACCGCAAAGCCCTAGATGGCTACAGGCGCGCGGACGTTCAGACGAAGCGAATCAAGTTATCGAACAACTAGGTCTCGACGACGCTGAGAAACTCGAGTTACAGTCGCAGTCAACGGAGATGCTCCCACACTCACCGAACGTGCCCTTCTGGCAGAGCGTGCGTGACACAGCGCACGATCTCAAGGAGGCGTTCCACGGCCCGTTCCGGTCTCGGACACTATTGGGGTGTTTCCTCCTGGCATTCCAGCAATTCTCCGGGATCGACGGCGTGCTCTACTACGCGCCCATATTGCTACAGATGGCGGGCATATCTTCACAGAATGCTTCATTCCTCGCTTCAGGCGTCAGTGCTATTGTGATCTTAGTCGTCACAATCCCCGCGACTCTTTGGGCTGATGCGTGGGGCCGCAAGACGTCTGCCGTCGTCGGTGGCTCCCTGATATTCACCCTCATGTTGATCTCGGGCTCACTGTACGCGGCAGGCGAGGTACATGGGGACAGAGGGGCCGGCCGCTGGGTTGTGATTGTCAATATATACCTCTTTGCCGCCGTCTTTAGCGCCACGTGGGCTATTGGCGTCCGAGCCTTCTTGATTGAGAGTTTACCCAGTAGTATGAACCCTTCTCACTCCCTTGTTTTACTTGGTATCTTGATAGCAATTACTGACCTTTGGATAGGAACGCGAAGCAGTGCTGCGAGTTTAGCACAGAGCTCTAACTGGGTATGTTACTCATCTTGACTCTTTTCGACTAGGCTAACAGGTATGAAGATAGCGAATTTTCTCGTGGCGCTCACGACTCCTATATTTGTTGCAACATCGACCTTCGGCGCGTACTATTTCTTCGCTTTTGCTACTTTGCTCTGCACTGTAGTTTCCGCCCTTTACATGTTTGAGACGAAGGGTCGTACGCTGGAGAGCATCGAAAAGAGGTATGCTGAGAAACAAGCCCTGAGGAGACAGACATTGTCTACAGGGAGATGGTCACTCCCTGTTCGGGGATTTAGGCTACGAACCAATCCGACGCGCTCTTGATGTATTGGCCGTAAAAACGTCACCCACTGATTGATATTTCTTGTTCCTAGTCTTGTTGAGATGATTATGATCCACAGCTAGAAGAAAGATGTGCATACAAGATCCTTTCGCAAGAAAGCGCTCTTAAGGTTTTACTGTTGTAACTATTTTCACTCATAGATCGATAGGGTTCATCTCACCTCTATTATCTACTTCCTTACAACTACAGGGCTAGTCGTATCCAGCTCCGTCGCATGTATCCATGTTCATATATACCTTTCTAGCTGACCGGGTCGTGCGCGATTCTTAGATCTCCCAGAACCCCAGTATTGTTATGGATGCAGACTCGTCATCTCATGTAACCTCGGCGATTCGGCCGATATTGGACGTAAACTTGGTTCATGTTTCGTGGCCCGGTAAGCTAATCGGCCACGCCACACATTGGCGCCGTGACTTAGCACCCTCCCTGTTTCTCGATATCTTTCTTACTATTACTTCTACGCCCAGACCGCTTGATTTAACAACCACAGTCACTATCGTAGGCGTCTGCAGGGCTTGAGGCGTGAGTATCATTGCTGCCGCTCACGCGAACGTAGCTGGCGAAGCGGCGCACTCTTAAGAATACCAAAACTAGCATCGAAAGTTTTGTTGCGCAAACTTTCTTGAGTTCGTATCGCTAGTACGTGAAACAGCTGGTCTCCGTAATCTAAAAGCTCAACAGTGTCAACGTCGTCGAGAATTTCGTCAAGCGTTCATACCGCATCCCCGAGGCTGAGTTAGAGGCCAGGGCGGTGAGTGTAGGCGCTGAAATTCATCCCGATAGGCCGTGGCCTATATATAGATTTTTCACCACCAGCAAAATATCAGTGTCGTTTACTATGAAGCATCTCATTCAGCTGACCAAATGAGCTAATTTGTAGGTCAGGCCAAAAGGGCGCTTCATGAAGGCTTATAAATACGGAATTTTTAAATGATATGTCGTATAGGCTATGCTCTTCCTTCCTACTATTATCATCAAGATTTTATTACCACACAAAGTCAGTAACTGTCAAATGATTTAGAGTGTTTTACCTTTTCTTTCTCATTCCTTCTGAAGCCGTGGAATAGACCAGGCAGTTGATATAAGACTGACCACTCGACCATAGAGGATGATTTCTGATATTTGATAGAATCCACGAGAATCTGTACAACTATATCTAAGACTATTTATAATCTGTTAGTAAAGTCCACATGCCAGATACATACGTGTAACAATAGCCAAGGTGGTGTATATGATACTCGAATATAACCAGTCGTAAGGCGATTGTACTTTCCTGTCGTACACTATCATTAACTCATTGCTTCTTAACAGCACTTGACATGCTATCTGCCTCATATTCGAAGCCAATAAAGTCAATTACTTCAAGATTCTCCAATCGGATTACCATCACTTCAAACACCGCTGGCCGCCCAAATACACCGCAATACTCTCAATTACTTTATTAGAAGAGAACATAACCTACTGCCCCCAGAAAGAGAGTCAAGTTACACCAACGGTCAGAACATATCGAAATCTTACCCTGAGTTAAGCTACATTCACATCATTATTCAATGTATGGTTATACAAAAACAATGACATCGGTATGATAGAGGCTAGGACACAATTGATTTAAGTCTCACAAGAGAGGAATATAGCAGTCCTCGCGTTAGAAGAGTCTGCTGCTCGACAAGCACGCATACACGCTACTCAGATATGTCACCCATCCTTCAGGAAAGTAATGAATCTCGAGAAACGGTACCCGACACAGGAGAAGGTGAGTGATTCACAGCAGATAATGCGCGTATCTAGGCCAGGACTGCTACGACTCATTATAGTACACATACGGGGTCTCCCCTATTCCACCCTGTCATTCACTCACCCACCCACCCACCGCCAAACCGGCACGATTATCACATTCTTACATATCGAGGCTACCATGAAACCTACTATAAACGCCACATGCCGAGATCAGCATGCAATCGAGATGTAATTGAGATGTTATAAAAAGGACGCCGTGAATCCAAACTTGTTTTCCCTTGGGATGAGAAATCTCTTGCCGGCTCTGATCAGCCGCGACCCGCGCCAGCACCGACGTCGGCTTTCGGCTTCGAGGCCCGAATGGGGCGTTTGGGAGACTGCCTACCTTAATCTATTTTACTCAGCCTAGGTCCCCGGGGGCGGCGCCCTCGGCAAAGGTGGTGCCCCCCCATGGCTGGCGACGTCGCAACACGCCGTAGAACTCGCAGTCCGTGCATGACGTCTTCCCACGTTCCTCCGGGGGTGTGTGGCCTGTAAGGTATTCTTTGACAGGAAGAATGGCACCCCCCCTCCCCTTCCCCTTCCCCTCCCATCTCTTCTCCCCTGCCCCTGATACCCTCATCTTCTTCCCCTCCCCCTCCCCCTCCCTACATCGCACTCTTGAGACGATGCCTGTTGGGGGTAATATGATGTAACCTTAGCCCTGCTCTGCCGGATTCGGAAAGCACATTTTTATTTTACAAGATAAAAAAAAGAAATGGGAAAAGAGAATCGGATAGGAAATAGGGAATAGGGAAAGAGAATAAAAACCACCAACCGCGATATGCTCGCGTAAAATAATTAGACAGGCACAACAAGGAACGGGGTTTCAAAAGTTCCTATCACTATATACTACGTCCTTTCTGCCTTCAAGATGTCTCATATTATAAATTGTACCCCACTCTCACGAAAATTCAACGCACGAAAGATAGATCATGTGGCGACGGGTATCAAATAGCAGATGATAGTGAAATGCTAACATTTACTCACTAGCTCTGGTATAGAAGATAAGTAACTTCTCTACTTAGGGGAACTTAGTTCTCTGTCTCTCTCTCTCCTTACTTTTCTCTCTACTAATATTCAGCTTCACTTTATTCGCCGTTTCCGCAAAAAACAAAACATGACGAATGTGATATCAAGATGCGATCTGTGCCGCACTGCGTCGTAGCGGTGGCTTTTTTTTTTCTCTCTGTTTCTTTTTTTTATGTGCTCTTGCGGTAGCTGCATAACTGCTTCCCTGCAATGCAACACTGAGGCATTGCTCTCATGGCTGATTTAATTAAAGTTCTCACTTTATCCCAATCTCAAGTGTCTCCCCACCACCCCCAACCCCTTCATTGTTCTTACATTACATACCTTACCCTTAGGTACCACCTCCTTACCTAGGCAGGCAGGCAGGCAAGCAAGCAGCGGAAACAATATCGCATGCCGAAGTAGGTGCATGTGTACACAAAACATCAAGCCTCCATAAACGTGATGTGTAGTATGTATGCCTATATATTAATCTCGGGTATGGGATATGTGGCATAATGATGTGTTGCATACACGGCCCCCAGGGAGACACCTCGTGGATAATCAACTGTCTGGACTCATGTACTCTGTTATTGACAAGCATGCGGATCTAACCCAGACATAATCTCTTTTCTTCCCCTGCTAGTTTCGCTTTTTCCTGGTCTAAGATCCCTCTTGCCGGGTCGGCGAGCAGACATGCAAGATCTAAACGACGGATAGAATCATCATCCGAGAGCTGACTGTTGGGGTTTGTTGAAGGGCTCCTCCCTGGCCAGCATGCATGCGTGCATGGCATGAGACGATGTAGCAATCTGCAACGCACGCTGATGTAAATTTCAGTCGTGTTAACGGATAAAGCAGATAGATGACGACGGGTGAAGGACTCTGATGATGGTGATTCTGGAGATGATGTGCAAATCTACCTACATTCCACTCACTCACTACGTGGTTGGGTGGGTTGAGGTAGTAGATGCTCAAGGGATTCCATATAGCTTGCAGACAAGACACCAAGGTTCCTGCAAACCCTAAGCTACATCCATACCCTTGCATTCCCAATTCAGCATCTTACAGCAAACCCACATGCCGGTTTCTCGAACCAAATTCAGACAAACCTGTAGATGATCTCAAGGTCATATCCTGGAACCCACGCACGTACATACACTACGCTACATATATCACCCACATGCGTACGTACAGATGTCCAGACGCACATATAAGACATACATACATACATACATACATACATACATACATACATGCTACTACGGGGCCGAGAGGGCATTGAATATAGCCTGATTTATTTTCAAGTTTTCTCGTTACGCGCCAAAAAATCAAATAATAAAATAATAAAATAAAAGCGACAAAGAGAAAACAACCAAAGAGCAGAAGCATATCATATTACCTGCCTACGTAGGTATGAGTGTAGTACCGCAGGTGAGGTTAAGGTTAGAGTCGTTCTGCAGAACTTAGCCGAAGCCGGACGGGGGTTGCCGTGGATTACTTCTTTCAGAATGTCTAGAATCCCATCCATGATGACATTTTAATATACCCTAGACGTTCGACCCCGTCTCGCCTGCCCTGCCCTGCCCATGTACGCTTCACTCGCTTGCGTCAGCAACGCCGCATGCCGCTTGTATGTACGTAATTTCGGCTGGACCCAAGGGAGCAGGTGGCTGGGCTCGCGTCCCTGCCCCCTTCGCTACTGCTCGTGTGCTTATAGTGTAGGTAGGTGTTGATTGTATGGAATATATGTAGGTACGTACGCTATATGCAGATGTATGTAATTTATGTACGCTACGTATATAGAAGGTATGTAGATAGATGCATGCTGTGTTCGTCATACGATTTCACTTTCGGCAATGAAATCATGGTACTGGTACTTTTTCCCTTGTGGATTTTACTGTCTCGAGTGAAACTGCGCGGCTTGCCGAGTTTCTACACCTCGACGAAACATTGGTAACTTGACGCGCTGACGCCATGGCAGCGTGGTCCATGTTATAAACTTGCAAGTAAAACCCATCGTAACTTCGGCCCTACCAAGTCGGAGCTATACCCCTCTTCGCCTCATAGCTTGAGGAGGAGAGGGGTTATTTTTCCTCTTCCCGGGGTTCCCTCGTTCAGGTGGATGCTAGTACCGCAGCTGTGGAGAAGGGGGGGAAAAGATAGTTGTACACGGACCAGGGTTCGTTCACTA